AAATCAAAGATGGTTTTGTTCAATGATGGGGTTGAAATTGCAGAAAAGAAACACGTATCTCCTAAGAGATGTGTGTTTTTGCATGTAACACCTGTTTGGATGCCTTTGTATCTCATATGCTCATAATTACTATTCCACAAAGTTTACATAGTTGTGAGATAGGAATATAAAATACAGTCATCTGTAGTCAAATAGTGTCCACATACTTTGTTAGAAGTCCCTTTTTCTGGCATTCTTTTTTAGACACCATTAAGAAGGTTAAACACAGTGTTCTTTGGTCACAGGTGAGTCTAAGAATGAACTAAACCTTTAATCAGTGGTTATGAAGCTGTTTTTTTTTCCTGTCCTGAAGACGTGAAGAGACCCAGTGAAGATTGATCACAAAAATGTAACATTTCACCTGAACCCTTTCAGAAAGGAGATATGATCCATACAAAAACAACAATACAAAGAACAGAAAGCTTAGCGAGCTGCAGCAAACTCAAAAGACCACAAAGTTCAACATATGTAAACAGTTCATGTCTGCGAAAAGTCCAAATGAACACAGAAAACAATACTGATGCTGTGATCTACCCAGGTACAAAGGGAACTGTAATACTGACCTAAGTTGGTGCCTCTACTACAGGAATACTTTACAATAGCGTCTGCATTTTATCTAAAAACAAAATGGCACAAAATGGGAACTTGTTCTTTGAGACAAACATTTAAATCCAAGAAATGCATTTTGCAATAAGATTTATTACCAGGACTGCACAGTGGCCAAATGATTTTAATCCCCACTCCCCTGGATTTTTTTAATGGCTAACAATTTGTACAGCTGAGGATTCAGAAAATACCTGACAGCTTTACGCTGCGTTAACCTTCCTGGTGTCTGTTGTGTGCAAGAGGCACCAGCAGCACTTAAAAGTCTTAATTACTAATTCTGCAAACAGCGATCAATGGATGATCTAAACATGCTGGAGTTGTGACATTAGTGCTACATTACTCTGTTGAGTTAAGAGGTCGGGAGAAATACAATGGAATACTTTACAGGAAGTCGGACAGTTGGACAAACACTACATTTGGCACCACATCGAATGACAGTACGGAGCAATACAACAATGCCGATTATATACATACAACACCGACACTGGACAGGAAAGGACACAAAGACGTGGATGTGAACAGATCTGCATCTGTGGGACGTAGCGAGAGGCGGCGGGGTGATCTATGTCAGCCCGATTTCTTCTAAGACGCTCCGCGGCGCCTCGGCTTCCTGCAGGAGAGAAACAAAAACATATCTCCTGCATTTCTACTGTGAGTGTAATTAATAGTAATAACCAAGCAGGCCTTCATAGTGAGCCACAATAGCACCGCATGATTTGCTAAAAATAAAAACACTGAGACGGGAATCCGTCAGCCTGAAGTGGCTTTAGCTGGACACCAAGCACAAACAGGCGGGGTGTCGAGGAGGTTTAATTCAAGCGCTGCAGGCTTAGAATAAACAGATTGCAGCAGGTGCAGATGGCTGCACATTGGAAAATGCAATGCGTCAACATGCCACAGCGACCCTTCTGTTTGGTTCACTGCCCAGGGAAATTCTTTTAATAGATACACAGAGAACTTCTACGAGGTAATGACTACAGGTTTCTTCTTCGTGGAAAGAATTTCTAGTTACAAACTTTCATGATGGGAATTTTCTTAAAGCAAGCAAAACCTTTTATTATTGGAAATCAGTTTTGCAATTCTAATTCGCTAAATCAAATACCGATCGTACCTCCTGCAGCAGGTCGGCCTGCTCGATGGCCTTCAGCACGTTCTTCTTGGAGGTTTCCTGAGCTTCTCCGCCCAGCAGGAACTCATCCAGAATGAAGTAGGCCTTCTCAAAGTTGAAGATGATATCTAGCTCACACACCTGTGTGGGAATGGTATGGGAGAGATAAGTAATAAAATAAAAAGAAAGATGCAAAAGGAGACTTTGTTTCTTACAGTGACAGGTTTTCATCATGGTGTTTGTGTGACTCACACTGCCAAAATATTTGTCCAGTAGCTCCACATATCTGTGGATGATTTCCAGAGTGATCAGCTCATTGTCCTGATCCTCGACAGCACAGCAAAAGTACAGACTGGCATATCTAGAAAAAAAAAAAAAAAAAAAAAAACAATAAAAGCAGGAAATGCAAGAGTGCCATTTGGAAAAGATTTAGTTAGCCTTTTATTGTTTTCTCCATAGCTTAGAAGAATGTGTAAATGTTAGAGTAATTTTTGCTCAATCCAAAGAACTGATTCACAATATTTCAAAGTGTTGCATATGCAAAATGTAAAAACAGAACATATTGAAATGACAAACTAGATTGAAATTGTAAAAGCATATCAGTATTAGGTATCCCCTGTATAAAATGACAATACAACTCTACCGTTCAGTGAAAGTGTCTTTGTTTACCTCACAGACTGCTTTAGAAGAAATTGGTTTTAAGGTTGATCGCTGCACATTACTTTTGATACTAAGGGCTGTAAACAGATCACAACAAGTTGGGACCTGTTATTGTTTTTTTTTTCTTTACATCATCTACCTTTTGTACACAATCTTGAGGTCTCTCCATTCCAGGAAGCTGCACATCTTTGGCTTCCTGGCCAGTATGGTCTGGACCAGATCCCTGGAGATCTTCTTCCTCTCCTTGTCAGACAGAGGGACATACCATTTCTGAAGCCGCAGCTTCCCCTGCCGGCTGAACAGCAGCATGAACTGCATCTGAGGGGGGAGGGAGATCCAAGGGTGAGACAAACATGAATCATAATGGGTGAGAGGCATCGAGGCCAATGGAACCGAACGGTGGATTGGGGGGATTTATTTTTTTATTTTGTAGGTTTAAACCCACAAACCACAACAACAGTTAGCATAAAATGAACAAAAACGTTTATGTGACAGAAAACCTCATTTATCGCAGTAAGTTAAAGTGCGCCAGTTGCAGGAAACGGATGAAATGTTAACAATAACAACATGACACTAATATTTGATCCAATTTGGATCACATCTTGTGCATCGTTCGCCTCGGGGGCTTCCGCACTACGTTTCATTGGCTCGCATCAGCTAATATCACTTAATTGCCTGATTTTAAAATCAACACCACGCTGCGTGACATTTGCGCCCCCCTCCTGCGACGTTTATCTCCTTACAGCGCACATTCCAGAAGACAAACGACGGCCATTGGAATCGCCTTAGAGACTCGACCGGCTGCAGCTTCAGTAAATTAAAGCTGAACACATCATCAAAACAAGACCGAGAGAGGGTTTCTGTAGCCTACTTCCCGTCCAGCCTGATGCTAAACTGCCTAGCGGATACTGTTGACACACCAGCGACGCCGTGATTGGCTGGAAAAGTCACGGCTCTGCAATTTGATTGGTTCTGAGTTTCCGTTAGTCATTACGTTGATGTGGACCTGAGAATAAGCGCTGACTGCTGTGGCTGAAAGTTCACTGTGCGCTTCATTTCGCTTCTCTTTGTTTAACATGTACAACTAAAACTAGGAGAAATACTTTGAGAAAACAACCGTGAAAGTGAACAGTAATGATCCATGAAATAGACGTCACTCTTACACTGCAAATATTATTTCAAAACGAATTAGTAAAAAACTAAAACAACAATGCGTTGCAAATGGCATTAATGTGTGATTACATGTGACGAGGGCAACTGAAGCAGGCATTTCAAACACAACTCTCATAGGTGTATTATTGGAGTGTATTATCTTTTTTTAAAATTTATTATTATTTTTAAGTTACTTTCTGGCCCTAAACATTTAGGAATTTTGAATGTAATTTGCTGCATATAGAAGTTGCACATGGTTTATTTTGCAATGTAAAAAGCGTTGGATCACTGAAGTCTATTTCAGAAGTCCTCAGTGATCCAACGAAGAAGGTACACATAACAGCATGTGAAGAGTCATAACATAATGTTTTCCACTTTACCAATTTCTATGATTTTTGTCACACTCAAATATTTCAGATCACCAGGCAAATTTACCAAAATACAGTTTTAAAATTTTGGTTTCATTTATGAAGGAAAAAAAATAATCAAAACAAATCAGATAGTGAATTATTTATTTCTCTGTAAACTAAATAATTAATTGTTTCGCTGTTGGCAACTATGACAGTCTTTGACATCTCCAGGAAGGACTTTTGGTCCTGTCCTCTTTGCAGAATTATTAATCAATCACCTTTGCACTGAACTGTGCAATATCAGTGTCAAGTTTCAGTATTGTCATTCAACAAAGACATTGACAAAAAATATATATATTCGTATGTGTGATACAAGATATATTAACCAAATTAATGCATGTATAAGTGCTATTTAAATATTGACATTAAACTTTTTATTTGATTTAATCATTGCGTTTTCTATTCAATTCAGCACATGTATGTAGCTTATTTTTTCAAACAGCCAACCAGATTAATTAATACATTATTTAAAATGTATTAATTATAGTTTTATTTAAACTAGCACGTGCATGGATGTTAATTGAGCAAAAACGAGCGATTTACGCCCTGTGACACATTTGGGCCTCGACACATCACAGGCTCGTTGCTATGCTCGTTGCTATGCTGCTCACATGCAGCAGCATCAACAGCACAGCAGTCTGGCGCCCTCTGTCGGCGGACTGCGATAAATCCAGAACACAATGTACAGAATGGATGGACAGGCACGCGCCGCCTGACTCACCCAGAGTCGTCCACGAGCCCCGACGCTCCATAGCGACAGCGTTTCTCCGCGACAGCTGAATCCCTGGACGTGAATGCGGACAGCAAACCCGGAGTGAGGAGCTATTTATTAGTCGTCTGGACGCTACAATGCTAGCCAGCTTTTTAGCAGCCTGAGTCGCCTCCAGGAGGTCAAACAGGCTCTGCAGGACAGGAAAGATGGGTAAAACTTAGCTTAGTCACGAAGCTAGATTTAACTGTTACTTTTATCCTATTTAACGGCGAGATGCAAAAATAAAATGAAAGTAAAAATGCTGGAGCTTTAGGGAAACACTGCGCAGTTGTCCGTGAGGATGAGGAGCCGCAGCAATTCAGGAGTGAGGCTGGACGGATATGCTCGGCTGGTCCAGGAGACTATCCTGTGTCATCAGGTGGGTTCAGACACATGCAGTGAAGCAAATACATTTTAGTTAATGAACTACTGGAAAACTGCAGTATTCCATTAATGCAAAAAAAAAAAAAAAAAAAAAAAAAGTCACTGCAGTGATTTCCAACCTTGCTTAATGAGCTGTGAATCCCCAGGCTGACTGTTTAATCCACTTGTTGTATGCCTAATGTTGGGTAACTAGGTTGGACTAGTTCATAAATACTTGAAGGCAAGTTGAAGTTTGTAATAGTAGTATGAGTGCTACATTTTACAACTGTGATGATTAATGTTAAAAAGTGCACTTGATAAAGCAAATTCTGTAAACGAAGTCTTCCCTCTTCTTTTTTTCCTGTTCTTGAACTATTTCTGTATTACTTATTTCTGTGGACTAGTGGGAGAATTATATCATTTTAAAAAAACAAAAAACTTATTTCACATATAATAAATAAAGTTAGTATCTGACAGTTTTCCCTTGATCGCCTTGGTTTGGTGATTGGCACATCAAAAACAGAAAAACTGGAAAAATATTTTTTTTTCTTAGATTTTTAAATTCGTCAATACAAAATCAAGCCAGCGCATTATTTGCTTTTGCTTAGCTCTTGAAAGAAAAATTTGACGTGGTAAAATTCCAGTCAATCAGTCCACCTTTTTTTTTTTTTTTGATAAACTAAATGTAAAAATTAATGATTGGCAGCATTCACAATGTTGTAACCTCAAAATGTAGTAGATTAAAAACAACTAAACAAGATCTTAAGAAAACAATAGCCTTGAAAAAAAAACAAGGCAAACTTGTACAAATGTTGGCAGAAAATATATTTTCCAACTTTCTGTTTGATGATCTTCTGGTTGGCTGTTTGAAATGGTCTCTCATTTTCTGCCTTTGTAATCATATATTCCCCCTGCTCCATACAGAAATATTGTAGACATGTAGATGTTTTGCTGCCTATAAAGACTAAAGTTCATCCACAGCAGCTGCACAGAGAAATAAACAACATGGGAGCAAAGTTCAGTTCCAGGAATCAGCTGAGTCCTGGGAAGCGATGCACCTTTATCTAACGAACAGCTCTTGAGTTCACACTGACACGGTCAAAAACTGGTGGAGTGAAACTGGGACCCTGAGGGCACAGCTGACAGAAAACAGGGTCAACTTTCCATGCTCTCTTAGACAGTGTTTAATAAGCTTTAGCTTAAAAACAGGTTGCCCTGAAAAAGGCAGAAACTACTGTGTGTAAACTAGTGTGTTATTGTAATCTATGTTAAAGGCACTGTGTATTCACCTATTTTATAGGGACACTTTGTTTGTCTTTTATTGATGTTCAGTGATGCTATTTGTTAATAAGAATAAAAGACAAACTTAGCGGTACATTAGGAAGAACAGTTTAGTTTGGCCATTTTTGTGCAGAAAATGGCCAGTAAGATTATTGGATGAATATTTACAAATCATTAACATTTTATCTATTGTCTGAATAAATTGAATCAGGTTTGAGGGTTAGTTAAGTACAGTGTGGTTTGAAGTAGGAAAAAAAATAAAAATAACTTTTATAACATTTGAGTTACTAATTTTTCGCTTGAATGCCTATTTTCAGACTTTTTTTACTTTTGCGTCACTCTTTATCTCTGTTTTCCTTGAAAGTACTTGGACTTAGGCAAAAGTTAAGATTGTGTGTACTCTAGCCGTCTGCAGCAGGTAGATCAATGACTGATTTAATCACTGTCATGAAAAAAAATCAACTGAAAACAAAAGATAAGGAAGAATTTTGAAACTGAGAAAAGTTGGCAGTGTTTACTGACTAACTGTAGCGGCATCATTTTTAAGCCTTTTCAGCTGGAGATGTTTACAGTGTCGACTCGGCTTTGTTTTTGGTCTCTTGTCATGTTTGTATGTAATCGCTGTGTCCGAGTCGTTTCCTACGTGGAAAAAAATGGAACTTGTGTCTACTAGAAATGAAGAAAAAGTACAGGTTGAAGTGTTTTACAGTACAAGAAAAAAAATATTGGATAAAAAATAGCAGTATTCCATTCATCCAGTCTGTGGTTCTTTGCTCCTTCCTTCATTCCTTTGTTTGTTTGTTCGCTTGTTCACTTGTTAAATTTTTTTCTTCCTTCCCTCCCTCCTTTTTTCTTGTCCTCCTTTCTTCCTTCCTGGGTTTTCTAAAATATCCACCACAAAACTCATTTTAAGTGAACTTTTCTGTTTAATTGGCTTAAAACAATAGCACAGTAATAAGGAAGAACTTAAAGACAACTAGAAATTATTTTAAAAAATGTAAATTAAAAAATATGCAAGTGTTTAAATGAAACAACTGTAATCTTGTTTATTTTTGCGCGCATAATTGCACACTTTCAGCGTATCTGTTGACTGTAAGCTGGACTCTTCCTTCCTCAGAACCCAGTGACTGGCCTTCTCCCTGCCAGCATCCAGAAGAAGGATGCCTGGGTGAGGGATAACGTGTACAGTGTCCTGGCTGTGTGGGGGCTGGGCATGGCTTATCGCAAGAACGCCGACCGCGATGAAGACAAAGCCAAGGCCTACGAACTGGAGCAGGTGCACCAAAAGAAAAGGCTTTTTCATGGAGCGTGATAGAGTCTGACACAGCAAACACTAGAAAAAATGTGAATCTTGCATTTTTATTTGAACTAAGTTCATTTAATAAAAATGAGGACAAAAAAATACATGACATGCTGAATAACTTAAAAATCTTACAACAAGGTTATTAAATATCTAGTGCATAAATAAATGATTTTCTCTTTCTTTAATAAGAAAATAATTTCTTGCTCATTGAAGAGCAAGACATTCAATGAGAGCTTTATGCTCATCTTTCTTTTGCCCAAATCTTTATCACGTAAATTAGCTAAAACTGTAAAAGTGTTGTGTTTCACTTACAGTTGTATCTGTTTGTACTTACCTTGTTATTTGGCAGAGCGTGGTGAAGCTGATGCAGGGCCTTCTGCAGTGCATGATGAGACAGGTAAGACGTTGTAGCACTGTACATTATTATTTTTGCTCAAATACACATGGAAGGATCATCGCTAGTCGGCATTCTGGTGAAAATTTCTTAACAAGAACATTTTTTTTCTTTGATAAATTGTAAGTCATAAACAATTTTTTAAAAAGCATACTCCTTTTACATAATTTTACTATCATTTGAGAGATGTCTTTCATTTCTGATCAACATGCTTCTTCTGAATGAAAATGAAGAAGAAGCATGTTGAAGGGATATGATTCATTTTGGACTTAGCTGTACAGTGAGGCCAAAATATTGCCTTAATAAAGTGCATCATAAAGTTTATAATATCATTAGTTTGCAACCGCATGATGAAACAAGTATTACATTTTTTTATTTGGCCTTTTATATTTATTTAAAATCTATGTTGAAAATGTAAAACGTATTAATATAGGAGGTTATCAAAAAATCAAATCCTTTCCCCCCAAGCAGATAGAGTACTTGCTTTAAGCATCACCTTCTCTCCACCAACCCTGCTTCCAGTGGTAACCACTTTGGTGACTATAGATGCTCATCCAAGACACATTGGCTTCCTGGTTGCTCCACTACTTGGTCATCTTAAAAGAAGGATATTTACAGACCTAAAAATAGTTTAAAATCTAATATCTTTCATTTTCCTTTGGGTTTCTTTGGTTGTGATGTTCCTTCTAGGTTTCACTTACTCCCAACCTAGACTATGTTGTTTTGTGTCTTCAGGTGGATAAAGTGGAGAAGTTCAAACACACCCAGAGTACAAAGGATTGCTTGCATGCCAAATATAACACAGCTACCTGCGGCACAGTGGTGAGGGATGACCAGTGGGGCCATCTGCAGGTGGACGCCACCTCCATTTACCTGCTAATGTTGGCACAGATGACAGCCTCAGGTGGATCACATTCAGATTAAAGCTTTTCCTGCATAAATGATCAAGGCAACTCAGTTTTAGTTTAATTCATTTTCTCTTTTTTCATGCAGGTCTCAAAATAATCTCCAACCTTGATGAAGTAGCTTTTATCCAGAACTTAGTTTTCTACATTGAGGCAGCCTACAAAGTGGCGGTAAGCATCAGATTCAAATTAGGGTAAATTGAAGAGAGAGAGAGAAGCTGAAGCAGAAGCTTCTTCTGATTGGGTGTAACACAGACCTCTACAGGAGATCTTTCCTGTCCACATCCATCATCATCTACAATAACTCCTTAGTTAAATGAGTTATAATTTTTAATTTCCCTTTAGGATCAACAAAGTTTTGGATTGAATTTGAATAAGTCAACATGAAAGCATCTGTTATATTTTGTAGCAATCGAACCAATACTCCTCAGGGTTTTATTTGGTTTTGTCACTTCCAGTTCTGACCATGTGTAGGATTATTTGTTTGCTTCTCTGCTTGCTTCTTTGTTTTGCTTAGTTATAAATGATTCAGATATAAACTGGCTGGGGAAATATAGATCAAGGCCACTTCCAAGGACTGCTGACATTCTTTGCTTTTTGGAAACCTAATTTAGTTGAATAAGATCTGACTTGAGACTTTGGTTCATCATTGTTGGAAACTTCTTAAAAAAGAGAATATCATCATTTTATCATTTTTATCCACTACACGCTTAATAATCAGGATAAAACATGTCACATAGCAGGTGTTGTAGAGAGTGTCTGATTCCTGCAGGATTATGGGATGTGGGAGCGAGGTGACAAGACCAACCAGGGCATCCCCGAGCTCAACGGCAGCTCTGTAGGAATGGCCAAGGTACAGCAGCGCCATTTTCTTCTTCCATTGTCTTTAAGCAATGAGGTGCCAGTGTTTACAGGAGGACTGATGTTTCAGGCAGCTCTGGAGGCCATCGATGAGCTGGATCTGTTTGGGGCTCACGGAGGGCCGAAGTCAGTCATTCACGTTCTACCAGATGAGGTGGAGCACTGTCAGGTACAGCTGAGTTCACTTCCAGGCATCCTGGCAGCAGTTCAGACCTTCGTTCTCGCCCTCAGCGTCTCTGCGTGTGTTTTCCCTCAGGCCATCCTCTGCTCCATGCTACCACGAGCCTCAACTTCCAAGGAGATAGACGCCGGCCTTCTGTCCGTTATTTCATTCCCTGCTTTTGCCGTGGAGGATGCTGACCTGGTGGCCATCACCAAGTCCGAAATTATCAGCAAGCTGCAGGTGCAAGTCCAAGTAGAGACAAGTGAAACGCATATCCTGTCTTCATGGAGTCAGGCTGAACTTTCCATTGGTCTAATTTCAGGGTCGATATGGCTGCTGTCGCTTCATCAGGGATGGATATCACTGTCCTAAAGAGGTTTCACATTCTCTCTGTGAAATATCAACATTCTTTAGTTAACAGAGTGCATATTAGTATATAAAAAAGTCATAAAAAGGACTATTTAACATTAAGGCCATTCTTGTTGCATGAAGAGTATGCATTGGATGAAAAAATCAAGATTCTGGTCGTTGTGTTACTAGGATCCATCTCGGCTGCACTATGATCCTGCAGAGCTTAAGTTGTTTGAGAACATCGAAAGTGAGTGGCCGGTGTTCTGGACGTATCTCATCCTTGACGGCATCTTTACTGGAGATCAAGTGCAGGTAGGAAAAAAAAAACAATAGAAACGATGCCCCCTTTGCAGCAGCAGCAGCAGCAGCAGCAGCAGCATCATTTCACACTGAAACATCTGCTGTCTATCTCTAAAAGTGAGCATTTCTGCATGTGGCCGATAGATTAACTACAGCACTCATTAAACCCTGTTTGTAACAGCTTGTTCTGCTGTAGTGTTTTAATTATTGCGATGTGCTTCACACATATTTTTTTCAAAATTATTATAACAAAATTTCAAAAATTAGAAACTAGAAAACACTACTAATCGTCGAAACTTAAATAATGCTTTTTCTCAGAACGCTGTCCTTCAGTTTACCAACATTTTCTTTAGAGTTAATCGTCTTGCTTCAGAGACACCGTGATTTATTCAGTGTAAATGATTTCAAGTGGTGCTGCCGTGTTACTAAATAACTACACACTTTGCACACAGGTGCAGGAGTACCGAGAGGCGCTGGAAGGTGTTTTAATCAGAGGGAAAAATGGCATCAAACTCCTGCCTGAACTTTATGCTGTACCACTTGATAAGGTATGTATATTTTTATAAAAAGACATGATTAAAAAGCTTTGTCACTATTTGTTCAGCTGCACCTGCTGGAGAAGTTTATTAATCAAGGATTTTGATAACTAATCTTTGTTTCCCGTGCAGGTGGAGGAGGAATACAGCAATCCCCACTCTGTGGACAGGATGGCCATGGGACAGTTCCCTCACATGTGGGGACAATCCCTCTACATTGTGGGATGCCTTCTGGCTGAGGTAATGGCTGCCAAGATTTAATAAATCACTTTGATATGATGTTTTACAAGTGTTTGTTGCAAATTCTAAAAGGACAAAAAGAACAAAATCAAATCAGTTCTCGAAATGTAAACATACAGGAAGTCAACCTTTTTTCAATTTTTTTTCCTTGAAAGGGTTTTCTTGCACCAGGAGAGATAGATCCTCTCAACAGGAGATTCTCTACAAACTTCAAACCTGACGTTGTGGTACAAGGTTGGAAATGAGTAAATTACCTTTGGAATATGTATTTATTTAAATATTTTGAAACAAAACCAGTTGGTTCAAAGAGAGCTGACTACACATGATACCAAAAATATCAATACCTATTTATCTTTTGGTTTGCTTTAGTCTGTGTACTAGCAGAGACAGAAGCGATAAAGGAGTTGCTAAGAGATGCTGGCGTTGCGGTGCAGACCATATCAGAGGTTATGCCTATTCGAGTCATGCCTGCTCGCATCCTGAGCCACATCTATGTCAGACTGGGTAATCACTTACTTAGTTTTTTTTTCTTAAACTTTGAGATCTGTGTGTTACAAAAGTGACAACAGGTGTCTTTTCCTCAGGAAACTGCAGGAAGCTGAATTTGAGCGGAAGGCCGTACAGACACATTGGAGTTCTGGGAACGTCCAAGTTCTACGAGATCAGGAATCGTTCCTACATCTTCACCCCTCAGGTGAAACGCCACCTGGCTGGGATGATGACACATCTGTGACCACAACAGAAAATCTCAGATTGAAAAGGGTAGAAATAGTGATAGCAATATTTTGAATGCTTTGTATTTCTCTCCTTTCTTCTTTTCGGTCTTCACTGATCAGTTTTTAGATCAGCATCATTTCTACCTGGCGCTGGACAACCAGATGATTGTTGAGATGTTACGAACCGAGCTGGCCTACCTGTCGTCGTGCTGGAGGATGACGGGACGGCCCACGCTCACCTTCCCTATCACACGCAGCATGCTGGGTATGAATTCTCTGCATTCAAAACTCAAGAAAACTGCACTTACTATGTGTTATTGTTTCTTTTGTCCTAATTTATAGCAAGGATAAGTGATTTTTGTGTTGCACATAGTGAATAATAGATAATAATTATAATAGATTATAATTCCAAATCCCAAACTTTGTACGAGTCTATGCACAAATAAAAAAAGAAACAATGTTTGTGCCTGATTGATGTAGGATTCATATAGGTTTCGGTTTGTGTCATGATTTCTTCTTGTTGTTTTAAAGCAACATTATGGACTGGATCAATGAGACTTGTTAGGTCTTATGGATCTTTTTTTTTTTTTTTACTGCTGTTGATCTCTAAATTGGCTTGATGAATTCATATCATCTTAAAATTAAATTAAATTACTTGTTAAAAGTAAAAGTTAATTTCATGCCGGCCTTGTTGATTTCATTTGACATGTTTTTATAGAAGCTGGAAAAGTATTTGTAACGTTACATATGTCTTTTATTCTTGATTTTATGTTTTATGTATCTGATCGTCAAACACATTTTTGGTATGGAGCAAATATAATCTGAGTAAATACCAAAAGCAGTTTTCAAATAATATGTATTTTTTAATGATGATTCCACATTGTTTGGAAAGTAGCGTTGAATATCAGTAGCTACTCCAAGTCTTGATTAAGGTCTGATGACATGAAGTTGGTTGAAAGAATTCAAAAGCCAACATTTCACACCCAAGGAAGAGACTCTGCAACATGACGTCCATTTAGGAGTTCAGTTGTAAAGAAACCTCTCCTTAACCAAAAAGAGCTCAAAGGTCTGTCTCACATCTACCAAATAGAAACAAAAAAATGTCAGATGTTGGTGAAAAATATTCTGTGACCACAAAAGGGGAAAGTTTTAGCAGTTGTGCTGCTTCCTGTTACTCCTTTCTGGAGTGAAATGAGTTCAGCATCTCAATCAGTTACACATGGTTGTGGTAATGTAAAGATCTGGGTCTATTTTACTGCTAGAGGATCCTGTGCTCGGACTTAAACTTAATTAAGATGGTGCGCCACGACCTGGTGATAATCACTGAAATAAAACAATCCCGCAAAAAAGACTGAACCAAAATTCATCCACAGCAATGTAAAAGATTCATTACCAGTCATCTAAGACACTTTATGGGAGATGTTGCCGCCAAAGGTGACGTAACCAGTTCTCTTAATACATAAAATCATAATTTAAAAACTCTTGATTATTTTAGTCTAATGGAAAATTTGTTTGGAGATTGGAAATATTTAAAGGGACCAGAGGGTGTATAAAGTAAATTTATGCTGCAAAGTCATTTCATTTCACTTTACTTTTCCCAACCAGTTGAAGATGGAGACGCAATAGATCCATGTATCTTATCCACACTCCGGAAGCTGGAGGATGGCTATTTTGCCGGAGCGAGGTTTGTTTCATTCCGAATGCAGTAGTGAGAACATACACACACACATTCATGTAAATAGAACAGTTCCTTCTATGTGTGAGAGCTTTGGTGTGTGTGACGCCACAGAGTGCAGATGTCAGATCTGTCCAGTGTCCAGACTACGTCTTTCCACACCCGTCTGACCTTCCTGGATGAAGACACTGACGATAGTTTATTTGACGACGTAGAAGATGAAGATAATGATGAATACAGAGCTGAATATGACACACCTGATCGTAAGTTAGCAACACTGCATTTCCACCATCACACTTTAATTTGTCTTATTAAATATTGACTGGAAGCATTTTTTTTAAACAGTGGACTCTCAGAACACATTTGACCAGTACATCACACAGCTCCTTCACAGCACCACCACCAAGTCCTATCTACCTCCCATCCAGAGGGGGCAGCACCACATCTTCAGCCCTGAGCACACCACCAGAGACATCCTGTCTTTTATGGCTCAGGTCCAAGGCTTGAAAATGCCCAGTGAGTACAGAATAGAACAGAAATGTCCTTTACTGTCCCACAGTGAAGAAGTTAAAGTGCAACAGCAGCAAAGTGACTGACAATAACAGCAAATAGACTCAAGCAAAGATATAGTATAAATAAATAAAAACAGAATAAAGAATAAAACACTGAACAGTAAAGGCAACATTTTCTTCAGTCCAAAGGAATGTGGAACTAATTTGGTGAATTAAAAGAAATTTACAAAATGTGCAAGTTTATTTGAGCATTAGATGCCAGAATATGTACAATTGTTGACACAAAAAAAAGTTTAAAAAGTATTCAACAATAATCTACTTTATTATTGATCAAGTAGACACAGTAAATGTTTTCATAACCCATAATCCCATTCAGAAAGTTAACTAAAATGTTTCTCAGTCATGAAATGATGGAAAATAGTAAAAAATACTGCAGGTTGGTCTTTATTCTGATTTGTTAGTTGTTATTGTGCTAGTTTTTTGTGGTTGCAGCTTCAATATATAACATTAACAAGATGACAAAATGACATGGCACTGTGAAGGTGCAAGCATTCTGGAGACACCATTTTGTTTCATTGTGCATATTTATATTTCAGAGACCTCAATGTATCTTCCTGTGGCTCCAATCACAAACAAGCATCGGAGATCCTTGAACCTCCTTGAAGTTCCTCATCCTCAGCCTGGCCTGCAGCCCAAGCAGCCTGAGCAGCCCAAGGCATGCTCAGCATATGGGTTTAGCTGTGTGTGTGTGTCCATTCCTGCTGTGTTGGTGGAAGATTAACACTCATGTTGTTTCTGAAGCTCTGCAGTATTTCCGAGCTACATCTGCCAAGAGACTCTCAGGGCAACACCGACTTTGCAGCACTGGTGAATCAGATAAAGGAGTGTTCGACTTTGCAGGACCAGACTGACATTCTCTACATACTCTACGTTATGAAGTATGCAAATATATGACAACACTGTGCAGATAGCTTAAATACTTAAAATGTTCCTCGTAATATCCTGCTCTGTGACATTTTTTGTTGTTGTTATTTTCTGACAAAGAGGAGCGGAGTGGTTGGTGGAGCTTTCAGGACCTGGACAGGGCGGCGTCAGCGTGCGCTCACTGCTCGAGGAACTGTATGTGCAAGCTGGAGCCTGCAAAGAGTGGGGGCTCATTAGGTACATCTCTGGAATACTACGCAAAAGAGTGGAGGTCCTCGCCGAGGTCAGTGAGAAGTCCGGATTATTTTTATGGCAACAGTCAAGCAAATAGTTCATTTGATAAAAACTTTAAAGTTCTAAATGAGTAGAACTGAGAGAGAGAAATGAGAGAAAAGTACAGAAAATTTTCTGTACAGAAATGTCTGGATAAATGTGTGAAATATGTTTTTAAAGGCCCTGATGTTGTCTGACTCTTTTCTGGTGTATTTCTGTTGAAGTTCAAATGATGGATGCAGTGAAGATGATGTCATCTTTAGCATGATGCACCACATCAAGCCTTGACTTCACTAGTTCACTTTGTTTTTGAGCATTATCCCAAATATCTTAGATCTCAGATCAAAAATTGGATTCCTAATTAACACAGTACATCAATTCATATCCTATTGAAATCAACAATTAGTCAATGAGAAAACCCTGGAGCTGTGACGAAAACTCCAAGCCAAAATGTGATAGTTGTCAGTCTGAATTTAGGCTTATTTAGTTTAAATTTATTGATATTCCAGCAATTAAACACAATGACTGCTACCGACAACACTGTGGACGGTTATCAGATCAAATAATTTCTGATTGGCTCTATTTTTTTTGTAAATTCCTACTACAACACTCAACTATTGGACAAAAAGATAATTTGAAGTAATTTAACTTTTATTGCTTCTATTTTCAACTTGCAGTCTGTTCTGATGTTTTATAGCATTAATAACCAATTTGAGGACAGTGAGGTTCTCTGATTTGCTAGTGAGAATTGTTCCCTCGCATGTGGCGGGTTATTTTAATCACTGTATTCCTTTTTTGTGTGTTTCCCTCAGGCCTGCACAGATCTGATTTCTCATCACAAGCAGCTGACGGTTGGTCTTCCTCCTGAGCCAAGAGAAAGAGTGATCACCATGTAAGATGTTCATTAGTTGCAGATCTTTTTCTCCTTCAGTAAAGCCTATACTAACAACACGAATGTCCTGTTTTTCTCAGGCCACTCCCCCCAGAGGAGTTAAACACTCTGATATATGAAGCCAGTGGTCAGGATATCAGCATAGCTGTTCTCACTCAGGTAAAGCTGTCACATTTTAAACCTCTGTCAGGATCTTAAAGGATGCTTCCTGTCCGCCTGTGACTCGTTTGTGTTTCTGTTAAAGGAAATCATGGTTTATTTAGCCATGTACGTTCGCTCCCAGCCCGCTCTTTTTGGCGACATGCTCCGCCTCAGGATCGGACTCATCATGCAAGTGATGGCCACTGAACTGGCTCGCAGCCTGCACTGTTCAGGTGAGAGGGTGGGCGGCGGGGGAATCAAAAACATACATGTGAACAGATTGATACAAGTGGAAGCAAACAGTGAACGCTTTGTGATGGTTTTGCAGGAGAGGAGGCGTCTGAGAGTTTGATGAGCCTGAGTCCATTCGATATGAAGAACCTGCTGCATCACATCCTCAGTGGCAAAGAGTTTGGGGTTGAGAGAAGCAGTGAGTTTTTACCTCTTATTTTTTCTTTAGCTATAATCAAATGATGTTTTTTCACGTTCTCTATATTGAAAAACGTTTGACGCTGTAAAGGAGTGATTTAAGTCTGCATCTCTACATTAAGGTGATTCAGATCTGCTCGTATTGTTTGTATTACATTAAGGCCTTATTACATAAATCAAACTAGTGAAATTTTAGATGTTACTTGTTGTGTTGATGAATAAAAAAAAAGACTCTAACTTAAAGCCACAAAATGTAAGTATTTACAAGCTGCTCACCTTTGCTGCTTTTACTCAGCCATAGACTCTGATTGACTCTGATTATCAAAAATGTAGAAGTGCTTTGAATCATATGAAAGTAAGCAATATTGGAGCACGGAATAATCTAATTCATCTTCATTAAGGATAACCCAAAGTTTCTCATGAGAGATTATTTAATCAGGGAAATGTTGAAGCACTTTTGTATTTTAGATATTTTCATTAATTTTCCTTCTAATGGATTTAGACAAATGGTTCAATCAGTCAGATAAGGAGTCCAAAATGAAATGACTGACCCGACACAGGGCCAATATCTTGGGTAAAAGACATAAAAAAAATTTGAACTTCGACAAACAATAATTTGAGATGAGACATGAAGAATCAAACAGGACAATTTATGTTCCTAAACCAGGAATAAAGTAGAAAAAACTTTACAAAACATGATGCCAAGCTGATGTGTGGAAGTTTTCTGAATTGGTTTAGTTTGCAGGTGTTTATATATATTTTGTTGTCACAGTGGTTCTGACCACAGAATAATATCAATATCATATTTAGAGTGAACCATCTTTTCATCCCTTTGTTGTTTGCGTGGGCTGCACAGTGGCACAGTTGGTAGCACTGTTGCCTTGCAGCAAGAAGGTTCGATTCCCGGCCCAGGATCTTTCTGCACGGAGTTTGCATGTTCTCCCTGTGTACTCCGGCTTCGTCCCACAGTCCAAAAACATGACTGTCAGGTGAATTGGTCTCTCTAAATTCTCCTTAGGTGTGCGTGTGTGTGGTTGTTTGTCCTGTCTGTCTCTGCGTTGACTGGCGCCCTGACCTGGGTGAACCCCGCCTCTCGCGGGGCGGGGTTCACTGGAGATAGACACCAGCACCCCTCCCGACCCCACCAGGGACAATGGTGCACAGAAAATGGATGGGTGGATGTTGTGTTTTTCAGTGCGTCCAATCCAGTCCACAGCCACGAGTCCTGCGATCTCTATTCATGAACTGGGCCACACAGGTGCCACAAAGACTGAACGCACAGGGATTCACAAGTTAAAGAGCGAAATAAAACATGTGAGTGAGAAAGAAGATTGTCTATCTGTCTGTCTGTCTGTCTGTCTGTCTGTCTGTCTGTCTGTCTGTCTGTCTGTCTGTCTGTCTGTCTGTCTCTTCCTCTCTATTTAACATTGTTTTTGCTTTTAATTGCAGCTGGATGGTTCTCGACCTGTCAGTGTGGGTTATCTTTGATAATTTCTAGCATGTGTTTCTAACCTTAATCTAAAATAAAAATCAAGCCGCCGGTTCCAATCACTTGCTGCCTGTTAACATTTTGTGTACCACAGTGGCCTCCATAATTGGAGTGACTCTCTTCATGACGAATCAGCAGGAAAACATGCTATGCATCCATCTGCAGTGTTTTTCTTTTTGTTTTGTTTTTGTAGAAGACCAGCACATATAAATGTCTGCAACTTTACCATCTCTCTAACCAACTTAAGCCATGATTAAGCTGCTTTGGGACCGTCTGCCCTTATGTTTCTTCTTCTTTTAACATGTGTCTATACTTTACCATGTATAAGTCTGCATCATGAGACTCATGTGAACCATCTCAACCTGTCCTCTATCCATGTTCCACCTGTAGATCTTCAGTGGCGGCCTTTCCTTGAGTAGCAATGTAACTTCCCCTCGCTCCACGGTAAACCATTTCATTTCAACTGCTTCACACTGGCTTGCTTCATCCCTCTCAGGGTCATAATGTAGTACGCAACACATACTTGATGATTTCATCCTTAATTTAGACACCTCCTCTATGTGATTAGCTCACATTAAAGGTTGAGAATGGCATGTCAAGTTGTTGTGGGCTACTGGTAACAATGTTTTGTTAAAATAACGCTGCAAAAAAAGCAAAATCTGACCAAACATTTTGTCTGAGTTCAAGTCCAAATATCTTAGCACACTTGAAATGTGACAAAACCAATTTACAAATAACTTTTTACCAAGATATAAGAGCTTGCTTTAAGTTAGTAATTCTTTAATATTGATTTAAAGCAAGTATTAGTTCCACTGGCTGATTGTTTCACTTATATTATGGGGAACTAGTACTTTTCCATCAATATTAAGAAACTATTTACTTAAAACAAGCCCTTGGTTGGTAAGAAGAAACACGTGTGTGGCAAGAAAACAAAAAAGACAGTTTGTGAGAATCAAAGTTTAAAAGGCAAATATAAAATGTAAAAGTCCAAAAGCACACACAGCCTCAAGAGCACTTCATGAATATTTGAAAAATCTAAGGAATACATATTAATATTAGGACAGATATTAATGGGCGTCAGATTGATTTGTGCGCTATAATAATTGCACAAAAGTCCTAAGTGAACTCTTTGTACATCTATGTTAAAGTGGTAGCTCCTTTTTATGTTGCTTATTAATCAGGACAATACAATCTGCTGTAGTCACCCAAAGGTCAGACATTGATTTGTGTGTCTTATTTCAGTTTGTGCATACACAATTGTTTACAGAACTAGAACTTGTGATAATGCCAGTCCTAACCTATATTTTTTTAAGTGACCCATTTTGCATGAGTGACTGCATGGACTGTTGCATAAATTAAAACAACTATCTGTGTGAGACAGAGAATACAACAAACTTGTGTTTTTGTGTGCTACTAATCTCTTTCTTACACAGAACCTATCTCCACCAATCACAAATGGGTCAAGGACCTCTAACATTAGCCCAGTGTTGTGGGAAAAACTGCAGTTGCTTCTGACTTGTTTAATGGGCTCAAATAAGCTTGAAAGTAAGAACAGTGGTGTGCTGGTCCTGCAGCGTTGCAGCAGCCCCTCCACCCCCAGTGGAATGCTGTCCCCAGTGGGACATGGCCTGGAAGATGGGCAGCTGCACTGGGAGGAAAGGCAGGGCCAGTGGCTGAGGAGACGGCGGCTGGATGGAGCAATCAACAGGGTGCCGATGGGTTTCTACCAGAAAGTTTGGAAGATTCTGCAGAAGTGCCACGGGCTGTCCATTGATGGATATGTGCTGCCCTCGTCCACCACAAGAGAGGTAGCACAATACTGCTAGCTCTGGAATTTGGGCTGCGTTCATGTCCATGGATGTGACTTGAAGTCTTATTTCGCAGATGACCGCAGGAGAGATCAAGTTTGCAGTGCAAGTGGAATCTGTCCTGAACCACGTCCCCCAACCGGAGTACAGGCAGCTGCTGGTGGAGACTGTGATGGTTCTGGGTCTGGTGGCTGATGTGGACGTGGACAGCATCGGTGGAATTATCCACGTGGACCGCATTCTGCATTTGGCCAACGATCTATTCCTAAATGACCAGGTATGGCTCAGAGGGCTAATGGAAAACCATTGGACATCTTAGAAATGTTTTTTTTTTTTTGTTGCTTTTTGTCAGTGTTTCAGTTTACCAAATATGTTTAATGTCAGACAAAGACAAAGGGTTGCAGAAACATTTTTTAGGCTTTGGAACTGCAGTGAACCATAGTTTTTTTCCACAAATAGAAACAGTGTTCAGTATTTTTCAAGTTATGTTTAGTTGATGTGTGGATTCCCTGAAAAGAGTAAAAGAAACAAAAGGTGAACTTGACTGTTGGGAGGGGAATTGCTTTTCACAGCTCTATACTAAAGATAGATTATGATAAATGACAAACGCCTGTGGGTTCACCTCAGCTTAATCCATCCAATTTCAAATCTCCAGAATTCACTCAGCGCCAGTGATTATTTCCTTGAGAAGGACCCAGCTACTGGAATTTGCAACTTCTTCTACGACAGCGCCCCTAGTGGCAGCTATGGCACAATGACTTATCTCTCCAAGGCAGTTGTCACTTACGTCCAAGACTTCCTGCCAAGTTCCAGCTGTCTGATGCAGTGAAGAAACCGACTCCAGAGAGCCGAATAAAGCCTGTCTGGTGGCAGAAGGGCAAAGCAGAGCTTCTAATTTGTAACTCGTGTGGATTTTGTCGTTGTTAATTATTCAGTAAACAGTTGCTCTGGTGTAATGATGCAGCATTGCAGCGTTGGCAGCTAACAAATTACAGTTAGGGCCAGAAATATTTGGACAGTGACACAGGTTTTGTTTTTTTAGCTGTTGATAAAAATATGTTCAGAAATACAATTTATATATAATATGGGCTGAAAGTGCACACTCCCAGCTGCAATATGAGAGTTTCCACATCCAAATCGAAGAAAGGGTTTAGGAATCATAGCTCTGTAATGCAGAGCCTCCTCTTTTTCAAGGGACCAAAAGTAATTGGACAATGGACTCTAAAGGCTGCAAGTAACTCAAAAGGCCTTTCCCTCGTTAACCTGTAATCAAGTAAGTAGTTAAAAGGTCTGGTTGTTTCCAGGTGTGTTTGTTTGCATTTGGAAGCTGTTGCTGTGACCAGACAACATGCGGTCAAAGGAGCTCTCAATTGAGGTGAAGCAGAACATCCTGAGGCTGAAAAAAAAGAAAAAATCCATCAGAGAGATAGCAGACATGCTTGGAGTAGCAAAATCAACAGTCTGGTACATTCTGAGGAAAAAGGAATTGACTGGTGAGCTTGGGAACTCAAAAAGGCCTGGGCGTCCACGGAAGACAACGGTGGTGGATGATCGCCGCATACTTTCTTTGGTGAAGAAGGACCCGTTCACAACATCAACTGAGGTCCAGAACACTCTCAGGGAAGTAGGTGTATCTGTCTCTAAGTCAACAGTAAAGAGAAGACTCCATGAAAGCAAATACAAAGGGTTCACATGTAGATGCAAACCATTCATCAATTCCAAAAATAGACAGGCCAGAGTTAAATTTGCCCAAAACACCTCAAGAAGCCAGCCCAGTTCTTGAAAAGTATTCTATGGACAGATGAGACAAAGATCAACCTGTACCAGAATGATGGGAAGAAAAAAGTTTGGAGAAGAAAGGGAACGGCACATGATCCAAGGCACACCACATCCTCTGTAAAACATGGTGGAGGCAACGTGATGGCATGGGCATGCATGGCTTTCAATGGCACTGGGTCACTTGTGTTTATTGATGACATAACAGCAGACAAGAGTAGCCGGATGAATTCTGAAGTGTACCGGGATATACTGTCAGCCCAGATTCAACCAAATGCTGCAAAGTTGATTGGACGGCGCTTCACAGTACAGATGGATAATGACCCCAAGCATACAGCCAAGCTACCCAGGAGTTCATGAGAGCAAAAGGTGGAATATTCTGCAATGGTCAAGTCAATCACCAGATCTTAACCCAATTGAGCATGCATTTCACTTGCTCAAATCCAGACTTCAGACGGAAAGACCCACTAACAAGCAAGACCTGAAGGCTGCGGCTGTAAAGGCCTGGCAAAGCATTAAGAAGGAGGAAACCCAGCGTTTGGTGATGTCCATGGGTTCCAGACTTAAGGCAGTGATTGCCTCCAAAGGATTCGCAACAATATTGAGAAAAAACTTTTTTGTTTGGGTTATGTTTATATGTCCAATTACTTTTGAGCTCCTAAAATGTGGAGTGTTTGTAAACAAATGTACAATTCCTACATTTTCTATCACATATTTTTGTTCAACCCTTTAAATTAAACGTTACAATCTGCACTTGAATTCTGTTGTAGAGGTTTCATTTCAAATCCAATGCGGTGGCATGCAGAGCCCAACTCACAAATATTGTGTTACTGTCCAAATATTTCTGGCCCTAACTGTATCCTTGTTTGTCTGCATTGTGATTGCTGTTCAAATATATGTGTACGTTTTAAACTATTTAAATTACAAAATTGTAACAGGGCAAGCACAGATGTGTGGTTTTAGTTCATATCTTAATTTATTTAAATCCTTTTAATTTAAGTGAAAACTTCAGACTGTTGAACTGATTTGTTAATCCTCAAATACTGTGATCATGTCCACAGTACTTATTTCCACTACTCATTGATTATTTTTGTTTTATTTATTAAGTTTTTGAATTATAGTCCTAGTATAAATAAGACCGGCTTAGAATGATGAAAATAAGTGACTTTAGTTTTCTTTAAAAGAGAACTTAAAGAGAAATATATTTATCCATGCATCTGGATATGAATGTCACCCCATATTTATCCAGCATGTTGATGGTTTGTTCATTTGTTTGCAGTGAGAACAGCTACTCTTGTATTATTTTCAGGATTAATCTATTGCTAGTCCTTCGAATATTTATTTAAAGAAAAATAATAGTTTTGCTAATAACTGCAGATAGTAACAACTTTGTCATTTGCATAAACACAACAGCAGACTTGACATCTGCGCTGACTGCATGCACCTTCAGTTGTGTACAACAACAGAAAGGTTCAGATCATGGTGCGTTCTTCCTGAAATAAAGACTTTTACAACCTGGATTCCTCTCGTTGCCTACTCTCTGAACGTCCTTTTCCATACCACCTGCAGCGTGAGGAGAAAGAAAAGGCGAGAAGCTGGTGAGAGGAGAGATGAGTCAGTACAATGTGAAAATGACTGGATGAGATGTTTCTTTCTGAGGTGTGAAGTGAAAAATGGTGCGGTAAAAATCACAGTAGGAGCAGCGTAGTTACTGCATGGTATATTTATCAATTTTATAAAAAGATGTGTTGTCCAACACTCATGTGTGAAAGACTTCGGGAAACTGCCGAGCTCCTTGCCGCTATTTGGTGTAGACTCATTGTGCGGACAATGAATTTTTTTATCCATAAATACCTTTTTTTCTAAAACTGTTCAACTTTTAGTGTTTCGTAATAACATAATAAAAATGTCAATTGTTTTCATTTAAAACTTTTAATTCCACATACTTTATTAAATACAGCATTTTTGTAGGTCTACACTGTGACACTGATGATATTAAGGATATGAATTATTCTTGCCACAAAAATATAGAATTGGAAATATTTTCCAAGTCTGGGTAAGTATTTAAAGATAAAATAGAGAATATTCATCCTATCCTATCGCCTGAAAAGTTGAAAAGTTACAGGCAAAATAAAGGCGAAGGACCAGGAACCAACAATTTCATAAGAGTTCAATAAAATATAAAAAATATCAAGTTGTTAGTGTTAAACAAAAGATGAAGAGCTTAGCCAGCAGAGGGCGCTATTTTCTTCAGCAAACATTTCTTCCAGCTGAAGGAGGACATGCGATGGGAGGCCGGACACGCACACTTATAACCTCCTCTTCTGTTCAAACACAAATGAGAGCATCCTCCATTCTTCTGGTTGCACTCATTAATATCTGGAGAAGAGAAACAGAAAGAAATTTTAATGAAGACAAAAGCACTTGCCATGTATCCATGAAGTTCCTTCTGTACTAATTCCTGCATCGTTGCAACTCTAGTTTAGTTGCATGCCTAATTTGTGCAATATCAGACAAAGAGTGATTTAGTCGGTTTTGTCCTAATGGTTCAATTGTATCCACACTTTATAACCACACTAACCTTCGCAATGTCGCCCGTCTGTGTGCAGTGTGTATCCTCGGGGGCAGATGCAGCGGTGGGAGCCGGGCAGATTGATGCACTGCCATTCACACATGTCCTCCAGGCATTCGTTTATATCTGCCAACAGAGAAACATAACTCCAAAAAGAAAAAAAAAACCCTGAGCTGACCCATTGAGTGTATCATGTCATCCCTACCTACGCACTCCAGCTTTGGATTTTGTCCCGTTGAATTTCCTGGCAGTGTAAGTGGCTCCTTCCTGTATCCAGGTGGACACTCTGCAAAGCAGCTGTGTCCGTCTCCTGCTAAGATGTAGCCTGAAGAGCAGGAGCACCTGTAGGATCCTGGTAAGTTGTGGCACCGCAGCTTGCAGGGTCCAAGTCCGTTGTTGACTGCACATTCATCTATGTCTGGATTGAGTAAGAACATTTAGAATCATTTCGCTTTTTGTCACACGTAAGTGCTTCAGATCAGCAACTAAAGTTTGATATCGAGCAAAGAGAACCCAAGTAAATTCAAACTGAGGTTTTAACTTGAATGATTTGATTTATGAAGGGAGCAAGGCTGTCCAAACTGACCTAGTCAAAGTCCAGGCTTAAATTCAATTGAGATGCTCTGACAGAACATTAGACATACCTTTCTTGTTAAAAAAAAACCCCTAAAGTAATTGAATGAAAACATTTATAGGCAGAGAGCGGGCCAAATTTCCCCTACAGTGAAGTCAAAGAATGACGGCAATTACAAAAAGGCTTGTGGCAATTATTAGCTTTTGGAGGCAATTGCTTTTTCAGTCAGGTTTCATGTTATTATAAAAGTAGTTTAATAATCAAAAACACTAAAGTGTGATTTAAAAAAAAAAGAAAGAAAAACAGAAGGAGTCTGTTTTTCACAGCACTCCACCATAAGGCGCCACAGCTCAGCTAAATATTGAGTAAATGCTTTCCCACCTTGGCAGCGGCCATCTGCATTCAGCCGGCTGAAGCCATCTGGACACGAGCAGAGGAAGCTCCCAGGAGTGTTAACACAACCAAACATACAACCTGTGACCGCCGCCGGCAGCAGGCACTCGTCAACATCTGGAAAGATGTGGCCAAAGATTGTCTGTTTACAAGAGGAAACTCACAGAAGCACGAATGTGGAAGGACACACAGTCACCGGCGCACCGAAGCAGGAAGCCTGGTCAGGAGTTGGCTGGTACCCGACGTGACAGCCGCACCTGAAGGAGCCAAACGTGTTGATGCAACTCTGCTGACAGTGATGCTGCCCCTCTGCGCACTCGTCCAGATCTGCATCCAGAGGAACAGATTACATCAACGCTCGGTGCAGAGTTCAAGCATGAATGAATTGTTTACACTCGCACTCTGTCAGTCGACACACGTTGAAAAAGCTGGTTGCAGACTGCAGGGGAAGGAAACTGAGGAGCAAATAAATAAATAAAAAATGACAGCTTCTGAACCTTCACTGGTTTGTCTCTGTGTTGGCCCGCTGCTGCTATGGCCTCTAATGAGAAAACCATAACCCAGATGTTTTCCTGCATCCTGTCCCTCAGACAGGAAACAGACACGCAGAGAAGAGTCTCTGCTGGAAGACAGGCCAACATTTCTCCAGCCTCATCTCTGTCCGTGTTTTGGGGTTTTTCCTCTCTTCCTCACAGTGGAGAGGACAAAAATAAACAAATGATAATGACAGGTTGTCAGGGACCGGGTGTGTGTATGAACTACCAGGTGTCTATAAGTGCTGCAGTGATCTCATAAATCTCTCAGCTTAATTGGGGTAGTCTGTGAACTCCGACACATCAAGCATCCTAAATGTTTTGCTTTGCAGGAACATGTCCTTGGAAGGACCAGCAGTGAGGGATCAATTCTACAAAACTGTCCTGGCAAAAAAAGAAAAAAAAAAGAAAGAAAGAATAAAAACATGAGGTGTATAAAACAACATGCTGAACCTCGACGGGTCTGCTCGTCACCCAGCAGAGCGAAACCAGATCTGCAGTGGCACCAGGTTCTGCTTTGTGTCTCATTAGAGTTCTGGTTGTAGTTTGAGGAGTGAGAGCAGAGCTCATTGTTAACGGAACAAGGTGACCAGATCATCCGTTGAACAGATCACAGCATGAGGGAAAGTTGTCTTTAAGCACAGCGTGCAACTCCACAAGAGCTGACAGGACTCATCAATGGTTTAAATCATCAAACCAGTTCATAAAGTTCACCTTAGATCTCAATCATTGATACAACAACCCAGAACGTTGTCAGCAGTTCTAGATTTTGCTTCTTAAGTTGACAATTTTATTATGAAAATATCTGAGATGAGGACTCATCTCAAGTCCTGAGCAGCTTTCTTACTCTGCTGCTCAGGACTTGTAATCTGCAAATTTGAAACAATCAATCAATACGACAGATGATGAGGTTAAAAATTGTGATGGACATGAGAGAAAAATAAATAAATAAATTTGCTTGAATGTAACTTTTCAAACTTTTGGTCACACTAAGACAATATTCTTTTCTTATGAAAAAACCTTGAACCCTAAATGTATTGCTATTATTGCTACATAATAAAATACAATGAAAAGGTGGCTAAAAAAGCTGTGAAAAGTAGAATTCAATGTGCATTCAATGAGCTGCATTGAAATAACGGAATGAAAACAGTTACATATTACATACTCCTAAAATTTGAAGTAGAAAACTCGTGCCAAACGTTATAACATTTTAAGATAAAATAAACAATGCAATAAGATTGGCAGAAAAGCAATCATATGAGGAAAACATTTGTGTAGCCTCATCCAAATTTCCTGCTGAATCATGTGAAGTTCACACCACTGAGCTGAACCTTCTGGAATTATGTCCTCTAAATTAAGAAGAAAGATAAGTTACACGTCGAGAAATCCCCCCAAAAAAGGCAAATCCGACCACCTACCCTGACAGATGGGCGTGACTCCGCTCCAGCCGCCTCCAGGCTGGCAGTAGCTGCTTACATCTCCATGAGCCAGAGTATACCCACTGTAACAGGCGTACTGGATGTAATATTTAAACTCACTGGGGCCTGGGTTCTCCAGATTGAGGAAGTAAAACGTCCCGTGAAGAGGCACAGGTGGGTATGGGCACATAGTTCGAAGATGCACAACTGGCTTTGAGGTGCTGGACTGTGTGGAGTCGTGAATTTCCCTCCAAGAGGATCTCAAGTGAGTTGAGTTGGAGATGTTTGAAAGAAGGGTGACGTTATCCGAGATCTGTGTTTTTGTGCTGGACTGGGTGAAACTGGGAACAGAGGCGGATGAAGCCAAGGAAGAAGTTGTGGACCGTTGCAAATCTCCACCTGCAGGTGCTGCTGCAGTAACAGCAGGACCAGCGGGTGCAGGTGTGGATGAAAGACGCAGCTCATGCGCTGAACGCTCTGTTTGATGAGCAGACCGGACAGTGGAAGGAAAATGATCTTCTGAGGAAAACATTTGTACAGCTATGTCCAGATTTCTCACTGAATCATGTGAAGCCTGCACCACGGAGCCAAACCTTCTGGTTCCTTGGCTCGTCTCTGACCCATTGCTGGAAAGCCGACTCTGCTCAATGAGGTCTCCTCTTGGATTTGTTAGATTATATCTCTCAACCTTCGACGTTTTGAACGGCGCGTAAGGCAAACGATCCAAACTGAGGTGTGCTTCTTTGGAAGCCCTGCTACTGGCAACTTTGAAGTGCAGGTGTTGATGTTTTAAAGCTGCAGAAATCTGGAGTACGTTCAAGTCGTAGAGACTGTTGAGTGAAACTGAGCTCATGATGTCTGCCTCTGAAACAAAAAGTCAAATGTTTAATAATACAACAACGAGAGTAGGTCTTGAGAAAAACAGATGTTTCCACCTTCACCTTTGCAGACTGGCTTTGTGCTGTTCCAGGTGTGGCCCTTGCAGTATATCATTAAAGGGCCGTGCAAGCGAAAGCCTCTATTACAGCTGAACTCTGCCCAGGAGCCATCCTCATTCATCCTGCTTGTCCCGTGGTTGACTGTGCCAGGATGGGAGCACCCTGAACCTGACCAGGGTGCGTATTTTAAATAAATTTCTTTCTCTTTAATAAAATCTTTTTAAAAATTCCAAGTTCTGACCATCCTTGTTCTCCCCCAGTACTTTAATTTAAGCGGCTAATCTACACAAAGAATAAAAATCATTCAATCTTGGACATTAGAAGAAAATTAAACATGTTACCAACACAAAACGGGAGTTCTCGAGACCAGTGTCCAGACACACAGCTGTTGGTTTTGTGTCCATGGAGCTTGTATCCCGGATGACACCGGAAGATCACCACGAGTCCACCGTACCGGAAAAACGTCTGTCCATTGTCCAGATTCTTCAACCTGCTGCATCCCGTGTCTCCAAACACTGCAAGACAGGGTTACGCCGTCAGTGCCTGAACACACAGCTTTCCTCAGCACCTAACACAACCTCAGCTGCAAGACATACCTGAAACCTGGACCAGAGTCAAAGTGACCACCAGTGGCACCAGGAGTCCCATCAGAGCTCCCTGTCTGACCGAGCGCTCGGGATAAAACTGTAATCATCAGTGCTGCAGCACCTCTATGAATGTTTGAGCCGGAAAGATGGGAGGAGCAGAGGCAAAAAAAAAAAGAAAGAGTTGGAGAGTGCAAGTAGGAAGCCTTTGAAAAAGTAAAGTCCAGAAGAATGAAAATCCCAGAGGAGTCAGGGGAAGAAGGGAGCAGGAAGTGAAGCAACGGCACAAATACTAATTACAGACACAGAAGCGACAAAGTCTGTCTTTAAACAGTCTTGCCTCTTTTTATTGCAGTCAGCTTTGTTAAAACAGTTTGGACACTTTTTCCATCTACTTTGTGTAGATGGAAAACTTTTTTTTTTTTTTTTGCATTAATGGGAAATGTGGTTCTGGATAAATACTGCTTGTGAATTTCTAAATGTGGGAAAGGGGAAAAAAAAAGTTGTTTTTTGCTGATTTAATTTTTTTATTTAATAAACAAAACAAACAGCAAAAGAACCTTCAAAGATCAACAGTGAAAGTTGCAGCAGTTTGGAGGAGTCTTCGCATCGAGTTCATGTCTCCTTTTCTTTTCCCTTCTTTCAAATCCTCAAGCGTTCTTCCCTCTATCCACGTTTTCGCTCAGTTGATGATCTTTGATGTCCAGTTTGTGCACCACCCTGAAGGCCTCCAAGAACTCTGTGAAGTCTATGCTGCCGTCCTTGTTGAAGTCGATGCTGCGGGCCAGATCATCAATGGCTCTGTCGTCGATGGCGACCCCCAGGTGAGCGCTGAAAAGGCGCCAGGTGTGGCGAAACTCCTCAATGGAGATCAGACCTGAACCCATCCACATCCACCATGAACGCACTTTAATTGGCGGAGAACACGACGAACCAACTTAAAACATGCTGTAGATGTTTTGCGTACCTGAATGATCTTTGTCTATGATGTTGAAAATGATCTCGATGTCGGTTCTGTATCTGAACAGAGTTTCAGCCAAGTTGGGAGCAACCTAAAAAAAAATAAAATAAAAACACACATGCAGTTAGCAAAACATAATTACTATCAGGTACCATTATAAGATTTGTCTTTTAGTTTCAAATTTCCTGTCTGGGATTAGTAAATATTTGTTCACTCAGCACTTCATCTTCTGACCTGAGGAAGAGGAGCTCCTGGTCCCACATCCTCAAAGCAGGACTGATACTCAACACTGCCATCTGGTGCCAGATGGACTAAGTGTGGACGAAGTGTCCGCCAGGGTAAGTCCAGTCTCAGGACAGAGTCCAGCACCTTGGCCCATTCACCGACTGACACACATCCTGTAACAAAGGAATTGCTTCTAAGACAACGGCTTCGTGTGATAACAAAGGTGACCCCCGCGTGGTGCAGGAAGGAGCAGAGAGTACCGGTTTCATTTGGGTCGTGCTGCAGGAAGCCTGTCATCAGCTCAGATCGATGGGCGAACAGTTTCTCCTTTAGAGCCCTGAGAGCAGAGCCTTCAGCTGCACGAACTCTGCAATAAAAATGAAAAGCAAGCAATAAACCCACAATTTTATTTCAATATTTTATCCAGAATAATAACATTCAAGAAAACCAAAGCTGGGGACAATATACAAGTTTCACAGCGTTTGAAGACGAGGAATAGACTGGTTCCAGCAAATGTTTGCATGACGACTGACTGGGGAACCACACTACTACTGTAGGTAGTAGTAAAAAATTTAGGAGCGATTGCATTGCACCTCTGTGTCAGTGTTAGCCTGCGGGTTGTGCGGCTGACTTGGTATTGGTAGAAGCGAGGCACCAGTTCCTTTCCCAGTTTGATGTAAGCACCACGGTTGCTTCCCTCCTCATAGTAGTTTGATGCTGAGAAGATGGTGATCACCTATAAGATTTACAAGCTCGTCTGTGCCCGTTCATACATATCACAGTTTTTTGGGCAACATGAGCACGTTGAATGTGTCCTACCCGTCCGCCGTGACAGAGCTCGTAACCCTCCTGTTTGCACTCATGAGAGCGGATGAGCAGCTGCAGTCCGTGCTTGTGCAGCAGCCTCTGCGTAACGTCAGGGCCGAAGTAGCAGCCTCCACCTCTGAAAGAGTTGGGGCTGCAGCCTTCCTGGCTTTTAGGGTCGCTCCACAATATATCCACAACCTGGTAAATGCAAGAGTGGACACGGATGCGATGTATGACACATCAGCTTATGAATCGGAGCTGAAAAGTCTCTCACCTGTTTCCATTCCCGTTCCTGTTGTGAAGGCGATGGGAGAGGAACTGAGGACAGAGAGTCCAGGAACGGCACCTGGAGGACGTTGCAGGGTGTGCTGGGAGATGAGGGGTAGGAGGGGGTTCGAGGAGAGCAGAGCGAAGAACAGGACGACGACGAGGACGAAGAAGATGAAGTGGAGGCTCCACTGTCTTGCCGGCTCAGCCCGCATCTCCTCTTTCTGAGGATGAGAGCAGGCAGCAGGAAAAGTTTAGTCAAACAAATAAATAAATGCAATAAATCCTCCAAAAAAAGGGAACAACTGCAAACAAAGATAAGTGGTCAGACCTCAGAGTGGGGGTAACGTGGCTCCCATTGTAGCTGCGACTGCTGCTGGGACGAGAGAGTTTTGTCGACCTTATTCTTTTGCCCAGTCGATGGGACTGACCGATGTCAAGCTGCTCCAAACTGCGTCTAGGAAACCTCAAGGCAGATTTCACCTGAAAGGACATGATGTGAGGTCAACAACTAACATAGATGTTCAGAGAAGAAGAAATGACATCCCTAAATATCTCAGCTGAAGTGATTTAAAAAGCTCTCGGCAGAGTTAACCGTGACAGCAACACATAGATGGTTTACTACAAACGAGATGGTGTAATTTGAAGTGTTGTCCAATTTGAATTACCTTTAAGAGAAATTTTTTAAAAAGTGCCATTTTCGAAACATAATTGTTTTGAGTCTCGAAAGACATCAAAACTCAAAGAAAGGAAATATGTTTCAAAATACATTTTCTGTTTAAGTCCACTTGTCCGTCACCTGCTTTTATTTTTAGAAAATGGGAGACTTGTAAAGGTATTCATTCCCCTTAAATCTTTTCACTTTTTATTGCACAAGGTGACACATGGTCAACAAAACTTTTTGAACATCTGAAAAGTGGATCATGCATATCCCTTAAATAAACTCATTTACTCCAGACTGTCAGAGCACAGGATGACTGAATACACTAATGAACCAATGTGAAACATACTTTTCAGGTGTTTGTTTGAAAAATGTTTAAAAGTCGACATTTCACAGCTGTACAGTAGTTTGTGGAAGTTCATCACTTAAAATCCAAATTAAACACATTTAAGTTTGTTTTAATGTGACAATATTTGAAGAACTTTAAATGGTAGCAATACTAAAGTAATACATTTTCAAACCATCTAGATTACCTGTGATTTTTTTTCATGCCCTCACATGACAGGAAAAAAAAATCCTTGCAGTTTATGAAACAAAGTAAACAGATATCTATGGATTTTGTCTGACCATGTGCCGCTCGATGGAGCTGAGCAATTCCAGATCAGTCTGGTCTGAAATTCCTCCGTGCACAATGAGGATCTTTGCATCAATGACTGTTGCGATGGGCAGAAGGCTGAAAACGTCCTGAAACAGCTGGAGGATCTCACGGCCATGAGTCTGCATGCAGTTCGACAAAAAGATCTTATGATTGTGGACCACAAAATCCTACGTTATTTTTGTGAAGGAGGAAAAACGTCATTATAAGGTGGCTTTACCTTATACTTCTGCATAACTTCTTTTGTGAATCCATATCTGGGAAGCAAGAGAAAATTCTTGAGGACTTCTGGGGAGGAACTTTTCTTTCTCCATGTTTTCTTCCCCCAAACCCACCTGAGGTTCATGATGTGATCCTCGTGGTTTCCTCGGTTCAGGTGCATGTGGTCTGGGTAAAGCAGAAGGTAGGCAAATAGGAGGATTATCACTTCTACAGACTTTTTCCCACGATCCACAAAGTCTCCATTAAAGATGTAGGGCGTCTCAGCAGAAGGCAGTCCGTTCTAGAAATCAAGAAAAAAAAAATTTACTACATTTTGACCAGCACAAACGTTTAAATGTATTTATTTATTTTTTTATAAGTTCTGTTGTATATGTCTACAAACAAAGACATTTCTGTTTATAGACATTTCTGCTTTAGGGTACCTTATAGAATATCAGAAGTAAGTCATCCAGCCGGCCATGGAGATCACCTGCGACAAAAAACCCAAACGAAAAATGAAAACAAAAATCACTAATTCTGACATGGACACACAACTCTGGGTAAAAGAGTAGACACACTTTTGTACCTTGTGTAATCCAGGATTGCTGGATTATTTTGAATTTCTTTGACTTGTTCTTGTTCCCCAAAAAAATACAAAAATTCTTTTTTTTCAAAACAAGAATTAAATGGGCATTTTCCAAATTTTCCTTAAACAGCCTGAAATATACAAACAGGCCTATTGTTCCCCTGCTAATGCATTGCTTGTTATACCTAGGCACTTCGTTTTCGGAAAACCGCAGTTATAATTCTGCCAGGACATCTGAAATCAATTTAGTTGACTTTCTGGGTTGTACTCACAAATCAAAATGTGGAAACAACTTTATATTCTTCAAGTTAATGTCAAAGCGAGAAAAAGATGTTTGAGACATGGAAACAATTGAACTGCTTTAGTGGGACGATAATCTCAGAGTTGTTTCCACATTGGATGAGGAACATGTCCAAAAGATATCAAAATCTAAATACAATTAAATGGCTTAAAGTGCAACTTCTATGGAAACATCTCCAATTGGCACCACCTCAACACAAACAGTGTGTTCTTTGCTTTCATCACAGGTTTTCTTGAGTTTAATGAGATGCAAGTTGGTGTGAGGAGGCAGCTGTGGAGGAGAAGTCAAGTGCCTGATCAGTGTGCAAATATCTTCCAGCGCTGCTATTAAGATACAGGCAGCAGTAGTTATGACACATTTAAAGGCAGCAGCGGTCATTTACTGATGCGTTTACTGACCTAACATGTTGACAGCATCAGAATGAAAAAACTTTTTCAGGTTTGCCTTAGTGTTCAGAGAAAGGACAATGCTAGATCGAATTGTTAAGGAGGAGATCTGAAACTGAGACTCCTCACCGCATATGGTGATCTCCTTGGCGTAGGACGTTGACACCTGGACAATATTTGGCATCTGCTTGAGGAGCTTTTTGCTCTCATACAGCAGCTGCAGGACATACCTGGCATGTAGAGTCTGCAGGGAAACACAGGTCCACCATGTTCAAGACGCATTTATTGTTGCATCAGGACGAAACGAACGGTCACATCGGTACCTGCTGCTCTTTAAAAGCACTCAGGAGGGCGTTTGTATCAGAGACGGACAGAGGAAACAAAATACGAGGTCCGGTGTAAGACTCTGGGATGGGGATTGTTTTGTAGCAGGTCTCTCTGTCTAACCAGGGGTCGATGACGGGATCCAGCAGCTGGGAGATCAAGTCTGGAGCAGATGACATGTTCACAAGCTGAAAAACTCTTTTCAGTGGTTCTTAATTGTCCGAGAACCCAGGCCTTTTTTTCAAACAGCTACCTCAAAGCTCAGAAAGTACAAAGTCACTGTAAAGTACAGTGTAATGATGAAGACCACTTGCATGACCGGAACCAAAATTAGAGCCCTGCATAATAGATTCTGAGTCTGAATGGGTCAGAGGTGCATTGATTATAATCAGACAAATTGTGAAATGAAAATATTCCCAACACAGACATTAATTCGAGGTATCTTCCTGTAACTATTGTTCCACTGTATCACTTTCAGCTCTATATGACATGAGAGCACTCCGACATGCAAATACAAAAACATAACAACCTCTAATTTATGCAAGCAAAAAGCAGACATCTACCTACAGGCCACCTTGGTAGGGGCTATTGTCTGCTGTCCATTAAATCCCCTTTGTTCTGCCCTCTGCCTCTCGCGCACGCAAACAAAAAACACAGATGTCCGCGGCACACAATGACCGTCCTGTCTGCATGATGGCTGAATATAAAACCAATGAAAGACGACATGCAGGAGAGAATCGGCCGTGAGGATGAGCTACGGCCCAGCTCGTTGATGAAGCACATTGCTTTTCAGCTGGATGCGCAGCAATAAACACACACACGCACACACACACACACACACACTGCGACAGCTACACACCAACACGTTAGCCTCCACATTCATGATTGTTACTAAGCAACAGGATGTACGTTGGGCTTTCTTACTTAGACCAAAACATAGTTGTTTCACAAAAATTGTGCTCATTATGTGAAATTATATTTATTTCTCAACAACTTAGCTCCAGTTGATGACTAACAAACACTGAAATGTCACCACTTACCGAGGCCTGAAGTAGTTTTGAATAACAGACCACACTAAATTGTAAACAACATGTTTGGAGCTATAATTAGAGTGTAAAATTGAACCTTACCAAATTTAGCCACTGATGGGATTGAAAGGGAAGTCATGATTCATGACAGGAGTCATCTAGCATTTACTGAAAACAAAGAAATCTGAATGTCAGCACCGTTTTAGTCTCACCAGGTCCGTTTCCGTTAAGGTGGGTGAAATTGTCCAGCATGTAAGTGAAGAAACTGGACAGCTGGAGAGATGAAGACAAAAGAGCATGAGAGGTTTATGGTGGCTTCTGTGTAAACACCATTCACATGCAGGTAACAGAGGGACGGAGAGACCTGCAGCTGGTCCTGTTCTCCGGCATATTCGATGGACTGAAAGATGTTCCACGTGTACCGCCTTCGGATCTCCAGTCGGGCCATGTAGCGCCGGTACCATCGCTGGATCAAAACTGCTGCCTTCATTGCTGCAGGAGAGTATCAGACATTGGACTTTATAAAGCAAAGAGAAGTGGAATAGTTTGCTCAGCCACATGGCAAATGATATAAATTAGTTCCCATTGGCTTTATACTACCGTGCAAGTTAGAAGCATGTTACAAACCTCTGGACTACTAATCTTGGCAAAAAATTATTAATACCCCTTTAGATGTTTTTTTTTTTATCACATTGCAACATAAAAGTGTACATTGAGAGTTTACAGTATTGTCCTGCTTATCATCACCCATCTTTCACTGTTCTTGCTGAAGAAAGCATTCCCACAGCATGACACTCTTACTACTATGTGCCACTGTCATATCAACCTTTTCTATCTCTTTTACAACTTTGTTTTGATCCATCAGACAAAATCCCAATAAGACACACAGTAGTTCAGAATGCGCAAAGGATATTTTTCTATTGCACGGTACCACACGCATGCATCCATGTACAGAGAGGAGAGTCAAAGACTTAAAAAGGTCTTACTGAGAGCCGGGCTGGGGCTTTTAACGGCTTCATCTGTGAGAGGAAACACGCGTCAGCACGAGAAGCTGGTAAATGAATGAAGTCATGTGCAAACACAGACACACATGGAGACACACACGCACGCAAACACAGTAAGAGCGATAACAAGACACAAGGGAAGTCATGGGCAACGGTGGGACTGGAAAAAAACTGAACGAATTAAGCAAGCTTTGGGGAGCAACGACTCTCATTAAAGAGAGGAGAAAAGACAAGCTGGGAAGAGAAAATGCGACTATCTGTCAAACATATGTGTGTGTGTATGTTTGCAACATGTGAGCAAACACAGTGACAGAAAACAGCAAACAGCATGGAGCAAACCACATGGAACAGCACACTGGTACGGTTAATCCCTATTTTAAGAAGTGCTATTTAAAATAGGGTTAAGCAAAAGAAACCAAAACAAGCTCTTAAATGAAGTGAGAGATTTAGATTATTGGTTCTACATCAAAAGAGAACAAATGAGTAATAACAGCAGAAGAGTAAACAACCTATTGATTTAAAAGACAGTGCATCCACTGCATTGTCTTTTAAATATGACCACCTGGATTTATCAACTGGGGCAATAAAGTATATTCCTATTTCATTTGAGGTGCTTTCTATACTGTTCTGAGTTGTTTTAATCATATTTTAGATTTTCCTTTAGAAGTTCACATATTATTTTAGCTTCTATTAAATCTTTATCCTTTGTTTTATGTATAACATACAATATTAGGCTTTGTAAATTGGGCTGTTTGCTTTGTTTGCATGCAACTTATTCAACAATTTTTGACATACTCCTAATTTGTAAGTTCAAATGAATACAATATCTGTTCCTGCCCCTACACACACACACACACACACCCACCCACCCACCTATATATATATATATATATATATATATATATATATATATATATATATATATATATATATATATATAATTATATATATATATATATATATATATATATATATATATATATATAATTATATATATATATATATATTAATATATATATATATATATATATATATATAATATATTATATATATATATATATATATATATAAAATATATAAATTATATGTGTGTGTGTACTTTTACCTGTTTCCAGTTGCTTTACTTGCGTTTCAGTAGCAACAGAAGTGCCACATCCCATGATGCTCAGCAGGGAGGTCCAGGGTTCACATCAGTCACTCTTTTCCAAGCATTATGGGATTCCTTTGGATGGCAGCATGTAGCTAATGACAATTATTGTTCCAACATTTCTCATCTTTTCAGTCAAACTTAAAAAGGCAATTTAAGGAAGTATCTGGCATAATGCATTAAACACTTTTTGGCCATAAAGTGTTCGCAATGTTTTTTTTTTTTTTTTTATAAAATAATGAAATGTTTCTGTCTGAGCTGAGGCCCCCCGTCTTACAAAATCTTAGCGACGCCCTTGCTGCTAACAGTCAGTGCTTCACACGCATCACCACGTTGCACACAGAAAACATGCAGTTATGGAAACAGTCGCATTAACCGTCTCCTCTTGCTGCTCCGTTAACAGCAAGTCGTTAAGTCTCACCAGAGGCTGAAATCCGCTCGGTGCGCCTGGAATGACGGGAGCGCGTCGACTCATGCGTAAAAATGTGCGTCGAAGGCGCCGCGGAAAGGTTCCAGCTCCGCGTCCTCTCCCAGAACGGTGGAGCTGGCCATTCAAACGCGAGGAAGAGGTCGCAGCTTTTCCCAGGGAAGCTGCGGAGGCAAGAGAGGAGGAGCAGCGCGCACGGAACCATCCACTGTGGCGTAAAAGTCACAAACCTGCATTACAAATGGTCCCTGACATTATGCTCAGTGTACGCGGATGCATCTGAAATTCTTATGGGTTTTAATTCTTTAAACATTATGTAAAATTATAAAAGTGAGTAAAGCTAAGTGGCATAAAGTTTAAAGATAAAATAACTGTAAAATAGTAAATCTATGTCAAAACATGTAGTAAAGCAAATCAACCACAGATCAAAGGTTAAGTTCACCTCAGCAGTGATGCTCAGTTTAAAGGGGCATTGCTGAAATTCACACCTTTGAGAATATATCTCGTTTACATCTTGAGTAATAATTGAAGTTCTTTAATGGGGACTAGGAACAATTGCCACGTTTTAATAAACTCAATAGTGAACTGTGTTACCCATAAAACCCAACATTTAAAATGACATTTCAAAGGGATTCAAGTCCAGAAATAATTCAGTTTTTCTGAAATTTGAAGCCTTCCAAGAATGTGAAAGGCTTTAAATAATTCTGGGAAGAATTGCATCATTTCTGAGGGAACATTTGAAGAAAATGTTTAAAATGCTTTTTTTCTTAAATAGACCTTAGGTACAGCAAGTTCAGTTGCCAAAAACAACCTTTTAAATGGAACAAAAGCTGAAGGTTTTCAGGGTAAATTCAAGATTCAAACAAATACAAATTTCCAACATGAGAATGCATCAGTGGTGAGATCAGCATAGGGACAAATACACCCCAGTCCTCCTATCCTGCTGGTTTTAGCACATTCCTCAAATACTTGAAGTAAATGGTGTGGTTATCTCTGCAGGACTTGATGACCAAAAAAAACTGCAGAATGAAAGCTTACAGGACTTGAGCATCATTGCAATGCAAATACGACCGAGGCTGGTTTGCAAGATTTGTCTTGTTGCCAAACAGTTTTACTGTTTCACCTGAAATCATCTCTACTTCATCCTCAACCATTAAATTTTCAAAATGTTTTTATGCGAGTCAGCAGTCATCCTGTCAAAGATCTACCCAATCAAATTACACCAAGTGGCTCTTGTTTGTCCTGACAAGAAGTAGTTATGCGAATTGTTCCCTTCTTTACAGCAAGATGTCACTAGATTCTACATACCTACAAACCGAGACAGAAGCACCACAGTTTAAAAATGTTTTGCTTTTATTAATACCACGAGAAGAGTCCAACAGTTCACGCAGCAGCTCTTGTACGAGTCATCTTTTTTAAGATCGCGATCGCAGCGTCAACCTCCTGCAGAGTGATGAGTTTCAGTCTGTTGCTCTTCGACAGCCGAGATGCTTCAGAGCTGACCAGTCTGAGCAGGAGAGGTCTGGGGAAACAGAGATGCCGACTGGACAGGAAAGCTGGAATTTCTGTTTTTGCACAATTAACCTGTTAAGGTTAGACACATAAAAAAAAAGAAAAAAAAAAAAGAAGTTAAGCCCAAGGATTTGGAAGATGATCTTTATGCGCAGGATAAAAATGTGTCATCCAAAACAGTCTTATATATACAGTTCTTAGACACAACAGCAGCTCTGACCTCTTTATGAGTTTTGTAGATGAATTTGGAGTGATCTCGAACTCGCCTGGTTTTCTTTGCAGGAATCCAGTGAGCTGCTTGAACAGGTGCCTTCATTTTGTTGTGTTCAGTCAAAAACAGGCATCCAATTTATATACATATATAAAAATAAAGCCGCTAGAGCAGCCCTTTACTCTGCTCCCAAGAAAATCAGACGAGCTGTGTTAGTACTGAATAGGAGGTTTTAATGAACGCAAATTGAAAACAGCTTTGCTTAATCAGGCTCAATTACTTTCACCCACCTGGCTGTAAAGTCCTCAGTGGGGGATCAGGAGCTTTCTGCAGGAGGGAAAAATCTGGCTCAAATAGAAATAACAACATGTGGTCACATAATTTAGAGCTGCGCTTTGCTTTATGACTGTCGATCTCTTAAAAGTTAATGCGGAGTGGGATGCATACTTTCCATGTCCTTGACTTATTAATAGTTTAACAACAAAGTGGAAAACAGAAAAATCCATTTTTTTTCTTTATCCCTCCTGTTAGGCTATTTATATACATACTCACCCACTTGCCACTTTTTTGGTGTCTAGATGTGGGAAAGACAACTTGCTGAAGGTCATCATAAGCATCTGACATACACACAAGCCTCACACACACACATTTGGGTGTGTGTGGGTGTGTGTGGGTGTGTGTGTGTGTGTGTGTGTGTGTGTGTGTGTGTGTGTGTAGGATTTCTGAGCTGACCCTTGTGCCGTCCCAATGACTTCCAGCGATTTTGAACCTGCTGATGGCTGTCATGATGGTGCGTTACCGGCTGTAGGAGGGGCTTTGTCAGATAAGGATGGTATTAGGTAGGGCCATTAACGTCCTGTGGATTACTGTAATCCAGTCTCTCTTGTCCCTGCTGCTCACTCATTTGTGAGTCCAGTCTGGTGTGGAAGCGGGTTGGAAGATGGCGCTCATCGTGCAGCACTCTCTGCTCGCTCTACTTCTTCTAGGAACTGACGGTACGATTTCAATGGCAGCAACTCAATCTGTCCTCACCTGCTCAGAAACCTAATCTGAAGTTTTAGAAAGCTGATGTCAGAATGACTCTTTCTGTTGAGGAATCCAGCAGGACGTATGTCTAAGTTTGAAAGTTTCATTCTGTTATTTGTTTACATTTGTTTAATGTGGTCAAATTAACAGATTTCATCAACAGAGTGGGTGTTTGTCGTGTCCTTAGCATCTTCTTGTTCTTCTCTCTCCTGTGTTGGCTGCCCCCCCCTCACCCTCTCCTCTTCTCTGACCATCTGGTTGGACAGTGCTCCTCAGGATTCATGCTCAAGAGGTATGAAAACCCCTAAGATAATAACAATATTGCAACCTTTTTCAATCATGCAAACAAAAACATGTTGAATTTTTCAAATGCCGCTGCATTTTTAATTTTTTTATTTTTGGAATCAGACTGCCGCTTCTGAGGCATGGACCACCAAGTCTTGCAAATGTGACTGCGATGGAGCCGAATCTCCAACAGAGTTTTCCATCATGGGGTCTGGCTCTATGGTGAAAGGAGTGGATTGCATGCCAGGTAAATGCCTCAGCACACATGCTTGCACTTCTCTATCGCTCTGAGCAAACATGTTCTGTTTAAAGTGATTCTGCAAATGTTTTTTTTTTTTTTTTTGTGAAATCTCATACTGGACTTATTGAAAAATTATTCTCTCCCTGCCTGGATTGTTATAAACTATTTAACGCCTGGAAGTCTATTATTTGATGAAATCCATATGTGAAGTCATTAAAACTAAATCCTCAGATTTCCTATAAAGAACCATTACGTTTGTTTATACGCAGAGAGACAATGCATTGGGCATGAAAGAGTCAGAGTCCAGATTTAACACCACAGGGTGGACATGCTCCACTGGGTATCCTCTGAGAAGGTGACGACGTTACGTGACGACAGAGCCATGAAAAGAACAGAAGGGTAAAACCTGGAAACTTGAGACATGAAAACGTCCAATGACATCTTTGGTCTAAGCTCTTACCAAACATTAAATCCACAAGAAATAGTTTGTTTTATCTCCTCTGTTAATAACCAGAGGCAGCCGCTCCAACCCGGTGAAGGCAGCCACGGTGAGCCTGATCAGATTTAAACCATGGCAGACTTGCAGAAGAGATCAACACTGATTACAAGTGATACAAGTGAATAAGCGAGCGTCATCTGAGCCACAAATTGCATGGCAACCGGTGACAGCAAAGACACACAAGTTCAGCAGATAATCATCCTGCCAGAACATGATGCAGCTCCTGTTAGACTGCACCAATCACAGAATAACAGAAACTAGCTATTAGTACAACACAGACCCTGCGATGATGAATGACGGGCCTGAATGAGCACTTTGTGCTGCAGTCGGCATTTTGCCTCCCCCCTCTGTGTCTCACCACCAGGAATTTCTATTATTTCAACCATCCGAACATTTATAATTTACAAAGGGAGGACTACAGAGGCATTTGAGTCATTGTTATGCAAACACTTATCTCCTGACTCAAACAGAAGCTCTGCTGTGAACGTCGTAATGCCGGGATTACAGCGAATGCATCCCTTCCCCTGACAGTCTTGAAGCAGCGGTAAACAGAAGAGCCAGGTCTTATTGCATGTATCAACAAATCGGCTCTCACTCACCTCCATCTTCTCCCTCGTTCATATGCTTGTAGTGAAATTTCTGAACCCGGCTTAGAGAAAGGGAGAGCTTGCAGCACCGGGGCAACATGGAGCCACAGTCAAGAGGAGTGGATGGCCATCTGCTCTCCTGCCGTCCTAATGGACATCACTGAGCTCTCACTGTGAAGAATTAAGCTGTTGGCTTTTAGGAAGAAATGTGGGTCATGTTGCGGCTGCACGCAGCTGGGGTCTTCCGTGTTGGAGGGGGCGGAGGGCAAAGCGGAAAGGATGAAGACTAGAAATCCAAAGAGGCTTTTGCGGTGACCATTTGGTGGTCAAAACGTCAGTGGCTTACTGCTCCTGTTCATGTCCTCCTCTCAATGAGCTCCATCTGTTCACTTCTTCCCAAACAAATGGCGACAATAAAAAGCATCTAAATTGGTCAACTTTGCTTGACTTGCAGAGTGTCCGTATCACAGGCCTCTTGGATTCGAGGCAGGATCTGTGAGTCCAGACCAAGTCACCTGCTCTAACCAGGAGCAGTACACCGGCTGGTTCTCCTCATGGCTCCCGAGCAAAGCCAGGCTCAACAGCCAAGGCTTCGGGTAAGTCAAAGTGAAATTTGAATTTATTTAAAACAACAGAAACAATATATTTGCATTACTACAGCCATGCAGTGATGTAAATAACTTTCTGAGAGGTTTCTGATTGAGTGGTCTCTTAAGTTCACTGTTTTAGCAGTAATCTGGCCTAAACAAGGAAATGCAGTCTGTTAGTTCATATTTTAATAAGGTGGAAGTTACGGTTTCACAAAGAGCCGGATACATTATTTTGTATTCTTGATCAAAGAACACATAATTTGAAAACTGTTTATTTTTTGTCATCTTTTGTCATGTATTGAAATTTGATAGTCTGAAGCACATGTTGCAAAAACATAGAAAGGCCCTACAATGAAACAAAAACCTTTTCACAGCACAGTGTGATCATAACATTTAAATATCTGCATGTTTTTATAGTCTGTTTCCATTTTACCACATATTGCTGAGTTTTGTGCCAACATAATGGAAAAAACAAAAACTATGTTCTTACAATCTGTGTGGAACAGTAAGAAGAAACACAATATGGCTCACACAACCGGTCAAGGTCGTGCAATATGTCCCTTTGTTCATAACATGGAAGTATGAACAACACTGAGAGCCTCATTGTTTATTTTATCAATTTGATTTCTGCTAAATTAAGTCCTCATTCTTTAATAAATATAACATTCTATTGATATTAATGAAGACATTTGAACAGCTTCTCCTTTTCCTCCAAACCTAAAAAAATAAATATGATTCGACAAAGTTTCGTTCTCTTATAATGAAGCGGCCTGGCGATCACGTTTGGGTTTTGTTTTCACATCCCCGTTTCTTCTCCAAGGTGTGCTTGGCTGTCCAAATTCCAGGACAACAGTCAGTGGCTCCAGATCGACCTGAAGGAGGTGATGGTGGTTTCGGGGATCCTCTCTCAGGGCCGCTGTGATGCCGACGAGTGGGTCACCAAGTACAGCGTCCAGTACCGCACAGACGAGAAGCTCAACTGGATTTATTACAAAGACCAAACTGGGAACAACAGGGTCAGTAGAGCGACAACATCCTGGACAAAAATAATCTACAATGTTTGTTTGAAACCGTGTCGTTTTTGGTGACATTGATGCTGTAATTTTGCTTTTGGAACATAATTTTATTTAGCAATTTTAAATGTTTCCAAAAATAATGTAACAAGTTAGCAGTTGACAGACATACCAACTTTTCTTTTTTAAATAAGAATCTAAAGTACACCAATTAACTGCTTTCAGACTCTTACGAAATCGCATTCTCAATACTTTTAGCAAGTTTCTCGCTACATTCAAGCACAAAACTAAACACACACCTGCTAGGTTTAGTTTTGTAGCAACATTCAAGGCTTACAAACATAATTTGTTCTAAATGAAAGTAACATTAATGTCAGGGACAGGGTTCACCAGGACCAGTGGGAATCTGCAAAAAGCAGTTTATCAATTATGAAAAGAGTTTAAAGGTTTTTCTACTGATTATTATTATTACTTCTGGATCCAGTGACATATTATTTTATATTAACCATCTCCCCTTTTATAAGTTGGTGTGGGTTTTTTTCTCTCAACTGAACAGTGATTATGATGGTTAATGTGTTGGTTTGACTCTGATAACTGTGACAGGCTTCAGTCGTACATCCAGCCTGTTCTTCAAAAGCTGCAGTCAGGTAAAATGTGGGTCTTTCTGACCCACCTTAAGCCTTCCACCACTCTGAGGATTTACTCTTGTCTACAAACTCACTGCGATTTGACACCTTTGTACTTTGGGTAAGGGAGATGTTACCGATAATACCTTAAAAGAACCTCACTTAAAAATGTCTGAGCTGTCGGTTTATCCAGTCAATCCTTCACTGCTCTTCCTTTCTTCTCTGATCACATCTTACCATTACCTTCCTTCCTCAGGTGTTTTATGGAAACTCTGACCGCTCATCATCCGTCCAGAACCTCCTCAGGCCGCCCATCGTGGCTCGCTTCATCCGCATTCTCCCCCTCGGATGGCACACTCGCATTGCTCTGCGCGTGGAGTTGCTGCTCTGCATGAAGAAGTGCATGTGAATCTCTCCTCCTCGCATCCCTCAAAGCATTGTCCCAGACCCCTGCGTGGCATTTGATTATGTATTCACAGATCTCCAGGAAAACAAATTGACCCTGAAATATTCACGACCTCAAACCGTTTTTGCATCCGACGTGCTTCCATTAAACTAGGTTTGTTTGATATGTGCAGTGTGCTTTCATTCAGTCCGCTCTGCTTTGTCTGTGCTACACCAATCTCTCTCGCCGGGGCTCCGGTTTGAAGAGTTCTCAAAGGGTGGCTCGGTTTGCAATGAAATGGCATAAATTCAAAGCAATAATTAGTGGCTGAGGAGAAGAGGCAGCGTTGCTATGAGGGGTTCGTTGCCACTGGTTTGTGGTGTTGTGTGAAGGAACCAGACAGTCCATGAAATACACACCAAGTCTATTCATTAGTTAAATATGTTACATTATGAAAAATATCTCGCATAGGTACAAAAATCAAAACTCTTTCTGGTCTTGAATCCAGATTAGCGAGATAATTTAATTTCATTCTTTCCATAAAAAAGGAAAATTAATTAATGTCTTTTCCAAAAGGTGATCGGTTTCCTTGTGCACTTTGTCTTAAATTAAAGATCTTCTGAAAATGAATGTGAGCTATTTTAAGTATTTATTTTCTGAAAGAGTGATGTCACAAGCGCTTACTGTACAGTTTGTTTCTCTGTGATTGGCAAACTGGGCTCATTGCTGCACAGAACAATGCGGTACAACCCATAAGTAATGAGATGTGAATGCACACAGCCGACATGCAAACAATAAGAATGATCCAGAGGCCAAGTTTTCATTTTTGTTTAGCTCTAAGGAACAAATGCAAAAGCTCCTGCGGCAGAGAGCTGTTTAGTGTGAAGACATTGTTGGTTTACAAAAACAGATCAAATCTACATTTTACTACAAGCATATTTTCATTTGCTTCGTCTCAAACCTTTTGAAACCTGTGATTTAAACCACAATTTCAATGATTCCTGAAAGTGATCAATATTTAACTTGTTATCCCGAGTGACTTTATGCTCCATGGAATGCAAACAGTAACATTCAGTAGGTTTACATAGGGCTGCTTTCCATTTAAATACCTTCTCCTTTCCTTCTTGTTAACTTAGTTTTTGTTAGTTCTTTTCCCGGGTAGCTTCACTGTTGCCGTGTTGTGTTTGTGATAAAACGTCCCGTTCTTTTCCCATGATGCTTTGGGATGCCCTCCCAAATCGAAGATGTGTCCTTTACTGTACCTTTAAATTGTTTTCCTAGATTAAACCCACACATATGTTGTGTCTAGTCTTTTTTTTAATGTTGTGTCTGTGGAACAAAAGATATGACTCGTGCAAAAAATGTACAGTCGGTATTTATTATGAGACCCTATCATATTTTTTTAATTAGAATGGTCAGCATAGATACACTCTGCTATTTGTATTTACACCCTGTCAGAGGTGGAAAATAGCTCATGGAAAAACAGAAAATAAAACAGAAGATGTTTTAGGAAACACATTCATATTTGGGAACAGAACGTCATCTTCCCATGTTTGAGTGACTGGAGCCTTTTGTACCAAGAACTGTTGAGTCAGTGATCTGACTGTAAGGCTTCGGGTCACTGGCAAGGCAAGCTTTGTCACCCCTCTGTCCACACAGGACATAAACAAACCCACACCAGCAGTCATTTACAATAATTAGCACTAAGTGTTTGCACAGTTGCACAGCTTTATGGGACAGTTTCACTGTGTTTGATATGAGCCAAGCTCAGGGTGAGATACAGTAGCACTGGGAAAATATTGCAGAATGATGGAACTATCTTCACTTCCCTGCTTCCCAACATACTGCAGGAAGTCGTCTCTGCTTCAATTTAATTTTTAAATGTGACCAACCCACATTACTTTGAGATTGTTTCTTGATGTTATTGCTTTCTATCAGCCATGTTGTCAATTGGTTCTCCATTAAATTGAAGCTGCATTCTGGTAGACGTGATCTTCATGTCCATCTTTGAATGAAACGTGTAATGAGTCTAATATTTTAAAGGAGGAAGGAACGGGGAACACTGTCAGAGCTTAGAGGAAACATTGCATTATAACTTCACACAGGCCTCAAAGTGTTATCTTTTTTTTAACCATCCACATGTCACAAGATAAGCTGATCTTTTGCTTGATTATTATTATCATTTTAAATAATCAAGTTTCGAGTGAATTCATCCCTGATCATGACTGCTGATGTTAAAAGTAATGCAAACAGGGAATTAAAAGTTCAGATGTTTAAAATTGTTTACAAAAGAGGCATTTACAAAAAGATGATGGCACGAGCTTTAAAATGCACACAGAAGATGTAAACATAGATTACAGAATAAGTCTGGGATCATTTTTTGTAACCAGTTTCGAGAGTAAAATCCAGTCCTAAAACTAAGCAAAGCTACAAAGATTGTAGTGTTTGCTTCATTAGAAGTTGGCTCGACTGTTATAGTAAAATATTTTAAGCTTTATTTTTGAAGTTCTTCACCTGTGAATATGAAACTAATTTCTCTTTCTTACTTTTTACTTTCTCTCTCTCTCTCTCTCTCTCTCTCTCTCTCTATATATATATATATACATATATATATATATATATACATATATATATATATATATTATATATATATATATATATATATATATATATATAATATATATATATATATATATATATATATATATAACAATGACAGGGTTACAAAGTTTTGGATTTCAAGAATTCAGTATTAAACTATAAACTATACCCAGACTTATCCTGTAAGATCTTAATGGCTGTAAGTAAGGTATACCTTTTTGAAACAATCTTCAGAGTTATAAGTCACATGTTCCAGAGGTTAACATGAGCAAAGACGCCTGTCGCCTCATGGGAAGGTTGTAGACAAACCCAAAATGGCAGCATGAAGCTGGAGAGCTGTTTGTTGTTTGATAAAAGACAGAAAATTAGGGCACGTTTAAAAAACAGTATCACCAGAAGTAGGACATGAGTTGGTGGTGTAAAAAATATTCTGACCATAAATAATCGTAAAAAATAGCATTTCACCTTCATTGTGATATGTACAATTCAATAAGTCAAAGAGAGAAAAAGAAGAAGAAGAAAAAAAAGAAAAATCTGTCATAATCGACAAACTCAACTTTTTTGGAACCACTTTCTTATTCAGTTTCAGCATTTGCAGCTTTACTCTCTTTTGTCTATTTCTCAGCAAACACTTGTCATGTTCAACACAAGAACAAAATGACACCACACTCACAGTGAAGCAGAGTGTTGGCAGCATCATGTTGTGGGCTTACTTTTTTCAAGCTGGAACTCATGATTTCATTTCCGGCTTTGCTTCCAGGTCCAAATACCAGCTAGTTTAGACCTAAAACATTCAAGTGTTTGCTGAAAACTTTTAAAAAAAGACCCTGAAATTTTGATTGCAGGGTTTTCCACAATCATTTACCTTATTTTAAGACTTCAGAGTTTAGGTATTAATCCTCCAGTCTTCCAATAACTATCAAGTTAAATTTTCAAATTTCATGTCAACTTAAAAATTTTTTTTAGCTCAAAAACCGGACGGCTGGCCGGATGACGGCCGGCCCGAGCGTCCAGAGCTCTGGGCTTTGCACGTTTTCTGGGGGAAACCCTGGAATTAATTACATTTACAACCCTTCCCATTTCGATTTAGCAAATACGACCTTGGTAAGATGTGCTGTCGTTATATACTCACACTAGACAAAACGCTGAAACTCAATAAAAAAAAGGTGCCTTAGCTAAGTATGACTCCAACTGAACACACACGTCCATGAGCAGGTTTTTACTGTTTGGTTTTCGATTGAACTGTATTAGGATATATATCAAATTGAAGGTGGAAATAGTTTGAAACGACTTACTATGGTCAATTTATATGCCACAAAAACGGGGCATTTTCTTCCTACCGAGGCAGCATCACTTTTGATCTTGTTACTTCCAGTGCACGTCAAGCTGTCACCCTCTGGTTGGTCTCCTAACGAACAATGTCTACAAATGTCCCGAATTATCACACAACCTCACAACTAATGTTATGAAGGTGACGGTCGTATCTGTACTACATCTAAAGTCAGACGTTTTTCACTTGTCAGTAGTTTTTCTTTTTCTCTTTGTTTACAATTTGATGAAATAAAAATGGGTAAAAATAGAATAACATATGTTAACATCATCATATTCAACATAAAAAGACATTCACCATTATTAAATACTCCTTTTGACATTATTATCAACACATATATATATCTATTCATTTCTCTGTGTCGAAACTAAAGCTCTTGCAATTACACATTTAATTCTACATTTTTTTTAAATATTATTCCCATATAACCTACATACTGTGTCATTTATAGCTTATATCCTTGAATTTAAAACAAATAAATATTTAATAAATAATATTGATATAAATCTTTCTCTCTTTTTTTGTTATCAAATATCAGTGCTTGAAAAACCTTTAAGTTTATTGGCCACCGATGCCACAGCGGCTTCTCAACCGTTGCAGTAGCGCTCTGTAAGCAGAAGATGGCGGCAGAGAGGCCACGCAGGCAGTGTCTCCTTGACAGGAAAGATCTGCTTGCTCTGATGTGAGCAGAAGAAGCTGACGTGGTGCCGACGTCCAGAGAAGACACTGGGACCTCCTTGTCTTAAGTCACGTCCCACCTTACTGGTGTCTGGCCTGTTCGGTCTTTGTAGATTTCAGAGACACGAGAATCAACAGATGACTATATTTCTGTGAACTTTTACCAGGGTGCCACGATGTCTGTGGCCAGGCTCCAAGGACGGAGACACGTCAGAGAGGCTGGGGGATGTTACAGGGCCGTCTCCTTCAGATCGTTGAGATTTGGCATCCTGGTGCGGGACGCTCGGGTGAAAGTAGGTCCGTTCTGACCCGGCTTGATGCCCAGCTGTTCTGGAGTAAACTGAGCGCCTTCCACCCTCTGCAAAGCCGACACATGCCAGCTGGATTCGATCTGTCCCGGTAAGGTGTAGCTGGCCTTGCGGTTCTTCGCCTGGCTTGAGCTGCTCATGCCCGAGTGGCCCCTGCTCTCCGTGTGCCCTCGACCCTCTGGGTAGCCGGCTTTGGAGGAGGACTGAGGCGGGTTGGGGAGGGGGGCTTGGAAGCGTAGGTCCGGAGGAGGTGGCGGAGGAGGCTGCCCTTGGTTTGAGGGGGAAGGCGAGAGGTGAAGTAGTCGACGTAGAGACTTCAGAGGTTGGCTCTGGAATAAGAGAAGAGCTTGAGTTGAAGGACGATTTAACAAACGGCTCGACCAACAAGTATAAGTACAATATTAAAGACAAACAATTTGAGAGACGTTGTGGTTTCGCCATCACAACAAACTAATTGAAACGGCGTTCAGTGTTCTGCAAATTATTATCACCTTGCAAACTTCTGCTTTCGCTAGATCATCGCACAAATGCTAATATTAGACAAAGATATATTTGACCATAAAAGGGAAAAAAAACTCTTAAAAAAAGAATTTCAGAATTCTAACGAGGTTAGGATTATGTCAATTTGATTTAATCAAGAGTTTAACTGGGTCCCATGAAGACCTTTTTCAGCCGTTCAGGGGTTGGCGGTTAGCATATGTTTTTCTCTTTCATTACTAACCAGAAGTAACAACATCCTTACATTTGCATGCACATCCAAGACACTGGCTTCACACGTCCGCACATCTAAAACGCAGACGAACTTGCTTCTCTTCGGCCATGACAGCGCAGCATTTATCGAGTAAGGATTTCCAATTTAAATTTGTTTTTGATCATTTTCCACATATTCTAGGTGGAATATCAAAATTACTTATCACTGGCCTTCTCCACTCAGGCAGAGACAGCCGTAGCAGAATATTTGTTTTCAAAGCAGACTGACAGGCTGAATGGAGCTGGCGTTCAGTACGTCTCCAAATCCTTTCCAATCTTTTGTAACAAAGAACAGCTTAAAATCACACAGTTAACAGGGAGTCATTTCATTCCTCACAAAAAAAAAGAGAGTTTATTTTTCTTTCACTTTACTGTTTGGCTCTGTTGTGTCTTTGAACAGTTTGTTATAAAATGTGTTTGTTATAAAATGTACTCTTTTCCAACCAGCGTTCTTAGCTGTGATTCAGCATTAGCATGAAACTGCATCTCCAGTTTTTGGTATCTGTAAGTTTTAAGGACACATTTTGAAGAAATTCAAAATAAGCGCACAATAAAAAGAACTAAACGGTTTCCGAATTTCAACTCGACATATTACATGCTTCCATTTCCGAGTAAATTTCAATTAAATGTTTATT